AAGAATAAACTAAAGTGAGACAAAATTTACAATGGTTTAACACAAACTAGTCAACGCTCTGAAAAAGTACAGATCAGTTTTGTCTTCGTAAGCGGACATTATGTTTTATACTCTTTCATTTAATAGTCGATAACTTTTCTTTTTTTGTGAACTTTTGGCCACTCGATGCATCAAAAAAGTTGAGTTTTTGTATGGAAGCGTCTTTTTGCCTACTACTTTCCACATATTTGGGTTGGCTCCGCTGAAATAGGATTGAATCCCGAAATGCCATCCCTCGACAGCATTTGTTGTTCGAGCAATCCCACTCTCGGCCGCATCTCGTTGGTTCCAAAGGAAGGGTGGGAATAAAACTTCACGGTTTGGCACCAAGCTTTTTATGTAAGTAGAGCCGAAGTACAGCCACAACTCGTCAATTTTCTCAATTTTCTCTGGTTCTAAACAATTTCTGTCGCATACATTCTGAATTTCGTGAACGATCATGTCATAGGAATCGCCGATCTTTTCTTTTTTTCGAATGCAAGGGATGGCAGCAGTTTGAAAGCCAGCGCTAAATCGTGATTCGTTTCGTAGGTCACTTTTAGTCCCAATTCAATAATTTTTCTCATGTAATTCTGGGAGAGATGGAAAAAAACAACCCGATAAATGTGCTTCGGGGAATAATTTTTGAAGGGACTGAAGAGCAGCTTGCTCAAAATCTAACAAAAATTTTTTCAGGCCTGCAAGAAGCGAATGTAGGTTTTTTTGGTTTTGTTAGGAAGGAAGGCGTAAAGGCAAGCTGGCGCAATGCCAGATACACTAACATGAATTGAATACAGCTGATAGAACATTTTTGGAGTAATTTTGAAAGTTCCATCGGCTAACCAGAAAGATGACTTTTCCAGAATTCTCAGCAGTTCGAGATCGCCGCACAAAACGATTCGCTCATGATCATTTGATGGGATCTCGAAGTTACGTCCAACGGGGATGGGCGGCATATTTACATCTAGCTGCTTACGAGTGCGCGCAGCCGTTCGGATCAGTTTGCTTTACTTGGGAGGGCAAACTGAGTGGCCAAATCGATTGTAACTGGCAAAACCGCACTGGCAACTGCAATAGTCGGAGTAAATCTCTCGCTGAGATCTTTTATTCGCTTTATGACATTTCGGGCCTCCAATTTTCCCGCTGAAATGTCATGGTTATGCTCTCCACGCGTCTCGATTAATTCGTTATTAACAGTACTGGCAGTTGCTCGAAATTTATGTGTTTGATTTTTTGAGCAAATCCAGTTTTCGGTAAATTTATTTTTTCGCTTGAAATAAAAATCGTGGCCGGACGCTATAAGAATTGGCTTGTTTTTAGATGAAACTGTGAATTCGAAAGAAGACTCAATCATAATGCGTTCATTGTGTTTGCGTTTGCTTATCACTTGAGTAGAGTATAAAGTGATTGTCGGAGTTTAATTTTTGTCAGAATTTCTACGTCAAATTGTTATGAATTAGCACAAGCAGTTTTTTTAGTGATCATAATGGCTTAGCAAAAAGTCTAATTGAAAATAAATTAAAAACTTGTTGATAAGAGTCTTAAGTATTTTAGGAAGCCTCCTTTTAGCATGTATAACTAAGAAAAACCAAGTTTTTCATTATGGTGCGTGCGTTAGTTGCAGGATTAACTTTGGTGTGATAAGAGTTAAGATAAAGAATTCATACAGCATCAAATTTAATAGTGAAATGACTAGGTGATAAAATGTACTGTGTTAAACTGGAAAACAGGAGTTATGTTGTTGTCGATTTAATTTGTTTAGTAGTGAAATGACTAAGTGTTAAAAAATACGGTGTTAAAATGTATTTATTTAAATTTTAGGACACCCAGTTATTTCACCCTAATTGAATCAAATAAATTGACTATTAATTGATTCATTCTGTAAAAATTGTCTTAATTATTCATCTGTAAAAAAAGGTCCAAATTATTTCAAAATCTTTTCAAAACACTCCATTTTGTATCACTTTTTATCAGAAGCAGCAGAAATTTGGCTATCAAGCAGACGAATTTCACGGCGATATGTTTTGAGAAACTGTTGGCTAAATATTGTTTAAAATGAAACAAGGATAGCCGGTTACTGTGCAAGTAGCATAGAATGTTCCGACCATAGTCTGGAAAACTACGGTGTAGAATTTTTTTCAACTTTTCAACAGTTTTTATCTCAAATGAAATCTCAATTTGCAGTGAATCGCAAATTAATAGTTAGTAAATTTAAAATACATAATCAGTTAGCGTAAAATGATTTTTAAAGTATCAATGAGTTCCATTTTTCAAAAAATTGTAGGTTGCTAATTACAATCGTAAGTAATTACAAAAAAGAACGAAAGATAGTTTGCAAAAACACTAAAAGATTTTCATTTATTCAGTTTTGTAATAAGGAACAATTAACGAAAGTTGTGACTAGCGAACAAAAACCAACAAAAAACTAATTTGAGATTACATTAATAAAGCTGTAAGCTTAAACTTTCGTCAAACCAAAACTAAATCAGCGGCCTATTGTGTAATTAGCAGATTTCTCCCTTACGCATGCTTTGTTTGATAATTTATAAATCATATTTTGCTTCAGTTTTAAAAGTAAAAATAGGTTACAACGATTTTTTTAATGAATCGTTTCCTAATTTTTTTGTTTGAGTTAGTTAAGTAATCCAGAGATATTTCTTGATTATAATTGCTTTGTCATTTCAATTATTTTTTCTCTAAGCTCAAAAGATGAAAAATACAGCAATAAGATTCCAATAAGGTTCTACTGACCCACGTTTTATTTGACAAAATCATATTTTTTTGTGTTTTTTTGATACTTTTTGTAGAGCGCATGAGATGGAGACTCAGATTTAGTTATAGAAAAAACTAAAAATTTAACACAAAATCATACCAAAATGAGGTATTAGTTTTTATAGAATCTTTTTGCCGGCTGAAAATGACCAAAATAAAAGATACCAGTCAAAAAAGCAAAATGGTCCGCCCAAATCAATTTTTTGGCATCGAGAAAAATTGTTCCAATTTTTTTCAACATTCTACCTATCACGAATTAGAAAACTGTAATGCAGAGAACAACTCATCCTCGCGCAACATAGAGTTGTGGTAGAACGCGACGTCTAACCTCTATCACATTGCCGGAAAAAAAAAGAAATAATTATCCTGAATTTGAAAGCCAATTAAAACACACCGCGAAAAAACGTATAATAAAACAAAATTAAACAAAAACGACTCGAAACAAAAATCAAGCAGAAGATCCATAAGAAAACGTTTTTTTTTAAAATCGAATATGAAAAAAAATAGTGTTGAATTATTTCAGTAAAACTGAGGAGATATTTGGTATTAAAGTCAAAAGCGCAGATATGTTAGATAGATCCCAATTAGCAAATTAATGTGTGACTACTGTTTTAATTCACAGAAACACAATTGTAAAAAAAATGAGTTTTTTGTTGAGCCCATGAGATTATGACTCAGAAACTAAGCTGTAAAATAAGAAATTTTGAAAAATGAAATATATCAAACCAACGTACAAGTTTTCTGGTATCTTTTTGTCGGTTAAAAATGATTAAAAGCAAAAGATATCCGTCAAAAGAGCAAAATTTTCAGCTCATTTTTTTTTCTCGGCATCGCGAAAACTTTTTCAGATTTTTTTCTAACGCTGTGCCCACCACGGCCGAAAAAAACTTCAATGCGATTGATCACTACACCTTGCACGAACTAGATTTGTGGTAAAGTGATTTCTTCCCTTTATAATGTCGAAAAACAAACAAAAAAATGAAGTAGTTGTCTTAAATTCGAAAGCCAAAACAAACAAAAAACACAGAAAAAATAGTTCAGGATTAAAGCAATTTGAGGAAAAAGTATGAGTCGAATCAAAAATTAAGCAAAAAAGCACAAAAAATAGTTTTGTATGTTTAATCAACAAAAAATGAATATAAAGGTTACAAAAAAAATTATAAATAAATGTTACAAAAAGAACAGTCTCTAGCTTTTTAAAACAATAATTCAACGAAACCAAATCCACTAACCAAAAGTTTATGCAAAGAATCTATCAACTGATGTTTGAATTCCGAGGAAGTACTTTTTTGAAAAAGCTCTTCAGCGTAGCGAAAATTCTATAATTATCAATTCATAAATACTTCAAGAAAAGCAGATTAGAAAAAAGATTTAAAATTTTACAAGCAACTTTGCTGATCTATTGCTCTTTATTGGTTTCATTAAACATTTTTACTCGCATCCTGGAGCTGTGTCAAATTTAATGTGAAAATAAAACAATTATTTTTTATAACAAAGATTGTTTTTATAACAATTCTAATTTAGCAAGCAACATTAGTTCTTTTGGCCTGGATAGTTTTTTATGGTCAGGACTGATGAAAAACCAGTATAAAAAGCCAATTATAAATGGTAAAAAAACTAATTTTTCGTAACGAACAAATCTATTCTAACCATGTGTCTTTTCATCATTCATTTTTAGTTCCAAATTTTAAAAGCATTTTGGAGCGTTTTAGTGAGTATAAATAATTTTATAACGCCGGAATTAAATTAGGAAACTGTTTTCAAAGGGCCGGAGCTCGCAACAAAACGTTATAGGCTCGAGCACATTTTCATTCACAGCAGTAAATTGATTTTCTTTTTGCTTGAAATAAATTGGAGCCATTTGCGAGTACATTTTACTCTGTTTGAACTAGCTGGTGGCCCCGATCGAATGATTTTCGACCGTGCTGGGAAACTATTATGAACCAAACGCACATCGATTTCTTATTGACAGGTATAGTCAGCAATTAGTCAGCGAGTCATTAAAGTTTGATTAAATTAATTTTGCTGGTTTTTAAAGCGATGCGTCGATTCTGGTATGTAACTATGTATTGCTTCAATCAAAGGTTCGCAAGTTTGCATCAAGAATCAATTTACTAATTCGGTGCCACGTTTCGAGAACACAATCAAACGTCTCGTGACAAGCGAGTACCTGCGCGCATGTAGTTTAAATAATAGTCTATGCGCGTCTATAGAACCAACTTCGGTTCAAAATTGAATTGAAAAATAGTTTAGACAGCTACCATTGTTGTTCGTTTGGCCTGGCTAGTAGCATGGCTAAAAACAATTAATTACTATAATCAATGTTTTTTGTTTCATGATGCAAATTAATAATTTATGATGCTGAATCTGAAGTCAAATTGAATTAATTGATCCTTAATTTATTATTTTACCCTCTATATGTCACTGGACTGTTATCACAACAATTCACTATGTTAACTTCTGTAAGAATTGTCGGTTTAAATGTAATCTCCTTCCTTTTCACCCTTAAATCGGCAGAAACGAAAGAATCTTTAATCTATGAATCCCCGCCTTTTTATAAAACTTCTGATTACAATTTCAAACAACATGAAATTCTCAAAATTGACTTGCAGTCATCCAATTGCAAAACTTCTACTTATGACGAGAATTTTCTTTATATTGGATGCAAAAACCGAGTTGCCATAGTCGATGTCGCGAAGAGCCGAACGACAATCCCGGTGTCGTACTCTCCAGCGTGCGGACAACTCGCAAGCTCATGCGGAGACAATCAGATTCTAGCTTTGAGTCCTCGAAAGAAAAATGTCCTCGTGTGTTTTTCCGAGCCCCAAGAAAAAACATTTGTTTGCACTCGGTTCCGAAAGGCAAGCGATGAACCCGATTCCACGATTGACCCGATTGATGAATCTTTTGAGTTTCGCGCCCAGTTCATCAGACCCGATACCGTGAGCCCGATGTTATTCGACGACCGCAAAAACTTATTTCTCACGGGATATTTAATCCCTGATTTTCCAGATATAATGAAATTGAACCTTGACGACAACAGAGCAAGCACAGCAGCACTGGGTATAGACAGAGGATATCACAACAAACCTTGGCAAATTTTATCGGGAAAGCCTGAATTTATAGCTGCCATTCAAATTGCAGATTTCATCTATGTGTTTTTAAACGAAGTTTACGAAGAAAACGGGAACCGAGTAGGTCGCGACGATTTGAGCAATAAAACTAGGTACCCCGATGATGGTCAGCAAAGGGCTCGAATTATTAGGATCTGTGCTAACGATCAACCTTCACTAATGAATGTCAAGTTATGGTCTTATTTTATCAAGGCCTCGTTATCGTGTTTAAAAAACGACACTTTTTTCACTAAATTAACCGCGATCAATTATGATTCAGAAACTCAACTTCTTTTCGCGACTTTCTCAGCACAAGATGCGTATATTTCTGGGTCGGCAATTTGTTCATACAAAATAGACAAAATAAATGAGCATTTTGGGAAACCTGTCTACAAATGGAGCGGCCTAGAGTTAATAAAATCAGACAATCTTTTCCCCGATTTTAAATGTTCGTCAAAAGACAAAGAGACGTCTTCAGAATTACACGAAAGGTTCAAAGTCACAATCCAGGAACCAATTTTACCCGATGCATCATATCGAGTACCTGGATTTCGAATTGTCAAAATTGCTTCAAAAACTTACAAGAACTTTCTTAAAACAACGACAAGTACTGTTACGTTTGGCATAACTCAAGATGGCTATCTTGTAAGGCACCATTTTAAAAACCATGAAGATATTTGTCAACTGCGGTCTATGAGATTCAAGTATGAAAATCTGGACCAAAAAGTGACACAAGTTCATTTGGTCCCGAAAGAAGGAACTGATTTTGGACAAATAGCAGTTGTATATGAAGAAGAAGTTGTGATGGTTCCTTTTGATGGTTGCAGTAAAATGGAATCGACGCGCTCTTGCGTGGCGTTGCAGGATCCGTTCTGCGAATGGAACGATGTTACGAACAAATGCCAGTCTAGTGATCCTTCGGTAGTTGGTTAGTAAAGACACGTGTAAATAATCACATTTGGCTCTTCCAGTTTCCCAACCACTGGTAAAATTGCAGGATACAGATTCAATTTGATGTTCTAAACTTTAAATGGTTCTAAATGAAACATGGCAGCGAGTACAAGTGAGTAACATATTACAACATTTCTCAGGGATAAATTATCATTTAAAAATTTTTATGAACTTTCTAAATTTTTTTATACGATAATTTATCCCTGAGAAATGTTGTAAGATGTTTCTCACTTGTACTCGCTGCCATGTTTCATTAGAACCATTTAAAGTTTAGAACATCAAAACCACCTTAAATAGTCTTTCGTAAATCAAATTTTAGAAAACTCGGAGGTTCTGGAGAAGAGTCGGCTCGTTTTAAGCCATCTGCATCGAACCAATCGAATATTTCATACAACCCCTGGAGTTTTGACTAAAATTTATATCTCTATCGTTTTTTTTGAGCAGGGAATAATACCATATGCTTCAGCAAAGAGCGTGGATCATAGGGGTCTTTGTATGCGTCAAAAACTGACAGCTAAAAGTCAAAATTTGTCTAGAGAAAAAGACTCTGGACAAATATTCTGTCAATTTCTTCAAAATTTGGAAGAACATGTAGTATGGGTCACATTAACGCTAAGTCAAAAATAGTTTTGATTCAAATAATTGCAAGCATCTATCCAAATTCTCCTTTTTCAGGTAAGAACGCAGTCGAGTGTCCTTACAACATAATACCCGCCGACTACTCCACCTGGAGTCCCGAATACACTTGCGCGTCCGGATGCACATGCACGCACAGGAACTGCATAGCGGATCCCTCGATGCTCCTGAACACAACTGTATGCGCAGATGGACCTATGATTCTGAATGTCACAAAGTGTCCCGTTGACGGAGGCTGGGGCGACTGGGGTCCGTGGAGTTCATGCACGAAGGGTCAGAGGACAAAAGAACGGAAATGTGACAGACCAAAGCCCCAGTTTAACGGGCAAGACTGTATCGGGGCAAAGATCATTTACGAATCATGCCAAATTGAAACTGAGAGAACAAAATGTAAGTTCAATGTTAAAACTTATAATTATGTGCAAGTCATTAGAAATCAAGAAGCGGTTTTAAGATTTTTCAAAGAGGAAGCTTAATTTTTGTGAAACCTTCCATTTTTAATAAGCAAAATTATCAATAATGTTATTTGATATATATTTTTTACTGTAATCTTTAAAGGGTTAGAATCTAAAAGGGGAGGATCTAAAAGGGGAAGAAAACAGGGACTGGTAAAGACCACGTATGCTCAAGTTAAATAAACCACAAATTTGTTTCAAGTAAACCTACAGTGCTGATTTAATTTATCCAAACAAAAATGAACAAATAAATTGCCCCATAATAATTCCGCTAAAATTCTTAGCAAGTTTTGTCTTCATCATTTTTTGTTCAAAGTCAACCCTATTTGAGAAAAATACGTTTTAAATTTCAAGTTTAATTCGTTTGGTCCGAATAATTTAAACCAACACTGTATATTGGAATATATGCAACATGCGTATTTCAACTAGGAACTATTGCCTAAACCTCATGCGACAAGTAAAGATCAGGGGTGCCCAAGTCACTAGCATCTCGACTGAAAAGACGGAGTAATTAACAATTTAAGTGTCATTCGTACCAACTGGTTGCTAGAATCAACCCACATAAAATTGTGCGGCAAAAAAAAACATTTAACAAAACTCATTTCTGCAAGCAGACACTAACAAATAAAAGGTCTATTTTCGGTATATATTTCTAATTTTGATCTTTCATTTTTATTTTCGGATTTTAGCTCCTATGATTCCCACTGCAGTCTCCCACTGGTCTCCCTGGATGGTCACCAAAGTAGACACTGCTCGGAATCGGTGGAGCGAGACCAGACTCAGAGTCCAATACACCTCCGACACGTCTCTGGACGCCTCGGACAATTTCAAGTTCCAGGCATCCGGGAGGAACTGTTCTTTAATTGTTGCGGATACCTGTCCCCAGTCGAGTGTGATGGTGGATCTCCTGAACACGTGGACTGAGTGGTCTCCGTGCAGCAGTGCTTGCGGCGAGGGAAGGAGGATCCGAAAACGCAAGAAGTGCATGGGTTGGTTATTTTGATTCCAGTTTTTGTAGTTTGACAACTTTTTTCGAGTCTAACTTTTCACGATTAAGTATAGCCAATAGACAGATGGAAAAGGTCAATGAAAGCATTTAAACAAAAAAAAAACTTACTTGTTTTAAAAAAAATCTCAACTTTCGAATTTCAAAAAAATAGATCTCTATTTCTAAAACAATTTATGATTGGCACTTTTTTGATAAAATTAACCCCATTTGAGAAAACTGGATCAAAATGTAACACTCTTATTTCGCTGAGAAATCTGAAAACTAAATTCCACTTTCGAAACTAAAAGCCGATCACATTTTTCGTGACGTTAAAAGTTTTGCTGTTAGTGTAGTTTGCTTTCCTTTTAATATAGTATTGAATTGAATTTACAAAAATCAAAAGCCAAACCACGAAAAAGTAAATTTGATCCTAAAGAAATTTTAAGACTTATCCTGAAAAAAAAATCACCGCGACCTCTATTAGAGTCTGAACTAAGTTCATCGACTCTTTAAAAAATCATCGCAACCTATGCACAGAGGCAAAGATACACCTCGCATACACAAGCAAAAATATGAACGATAATGCTACTGGGAAACTGAATGAGTAAAACTTTAAGTCTACAAAATTTCTTAAGTGACGCACGTCAATTATGAGTCTAGATAATTGCTAAGTGACGCAAGCCAATTATGACGCATTAGCAGTACCAGTTAATTTGAAAAAAAAGAAGAAGTTTACCAACTAACATGCCTCAATTTATAGAGCGGACGCATTTTAACTAGTATACGAGAAAGTTCTTTAAAAAAACATCTGACCATGTCCAGGTTCGAACCCTCTTATTTTGTCGCGGGTCTCCTTCCCTACCTCTACGCTACAGATCCATGATACCTTGAAGCTTAAGTGCTATTTGTAATATAATAGTCTGTGTTAATATCCTTAACATTGGCTGCACTTAATAGCTGGTTATTGATCAAAATGAACAATTTTTTTTGCACAAATCTTTGCGTCGCAACAATATTTACGACTAAGGTTGGAAAAAAAAGAGAGTTCATACTATAACACAAGCTTTGCTTTTGTAATAAGAGTCTGAACTACGTTCATCGACTCTTAGACAAAAAATACGACAATAGCTAGTTTCATAATTTAATTAAACTCTTAAATTGTGGGATGGATGATTTTTTTAAGAAAAAAATGAGCAGATAGTGCAATTGAAATAATGTCGAAGTGTTAAAAATCAAAAGACTCCACACCAGAAATGTGTAATCAAAAATATTAGCAAAAATGTCTTTTAAAAACCAACTCCTGCTTCCATATGAGCTCCTTTCAATCAGTTTTAGGTTGCTAAATTATGACGTCATAATACAAAAGCTGTCATTAAGATATCATATTTTTGATATTTGGTACACGAGACGATTGTTAACTAAAGCAGTTTTACTGAATATTCAGGAATGGTATGTTCCGGCGAGGAGACAGAAACTGAGACGTGCAATGAGAAGTCGTGTCCCCACGAGGGAGGAGATGGAGGGGCAGCTGACCTGCTGTGTTGGAGTGAGTGGACTGCCTGTAGCAGCGAGTGCGGCAGTGGCATCCGAACCAGACAGAGGATATGTCCCACCAATAACTACTACAACTGCATGGATGGTAAGTATCATTTGTCATTTCAGAACCACTAATAAAAAAGTATCCCTAAATAGTCTCTAGTATCCCTAGAATCTCGCAAGCAGCCCTCAGTATCTAGCAATCCTTGTAGAGAGGAACAAAAAACCACGAGAAAGGAAATGAAAATTAAGTTGACGCATTTATATCAAACTCTGCAAAATTTAAAAGCCAACTTATTAAAAAACCAGACCCAAAAAATTGTGTCCACCTCATTTTGTTTAAGATTTTTTTTACATTTACTTGAACGACATCCGATAAAATAGCAAAATATCTGATAAAGGAATTTTAAAAAGATAGAAGATAACAAGACAGACTTTACAGGTAAAGACTGATAACCAATCAACTTTTATATTCCAGGCAAGCAGACTGATAATCAAGAATGCGACGGAACAAGCTGTCAATTTTCCCCACCATTGAACCACAATCTGCGCCTTATAGATACATGTCGACACAAACTTGTCGAAGAGTACAAATGCGTGGGACCCAAATGCGAATCTGATCACGTTTTCAAACCTTGTGGCGACCAAACTTACCCTCTTGACTCAAGCGAAGTAGAAGGAATGACCTTGAAAAATGATGACAACGATGGAGCTGTAGATATGAAGATATACATTCTATCGGTGACTGTAACCGCGATTCTAGTAGCTATGATGTTTTGCATATTCATGGTCATAGCTCGTAAATGCCAGAGACATGATCGAACTTCGGACCATCAGCCCAAAATTTACGACCAGCTACCACCTGTTGACCCGATAGTTGACCTTGGGGTACCTGTCGGGGGACGATTGAGTCATCAGATGGCAAATGACACGCTTGGAATCTGTTCAGATTCGTTCAACATGTCAAGTAGCCACATGCTGCCCCATATCTGGAACAGAGACCAGACTATGAACACGTTCAACGACAATGATCAACCTATCAACAATGGATTCTTTTCGGTTGACTACAGGTTAATATTCAATATAATTCCCCAGAATGAAATGAAATACTTTAACTAAATTAAAGTAGCCGTAGATGGCGAATTTACCTCTTAAATTGATTTCATTGTTCCGGCAACTGAAAAGGGAGAGGAACTTCGTCATCGAGTGTTTTAGACAGGGTTACCACTTCGTTCAGATCAAAAATCTGACCAGAGATATCATCAAAAAACTGACCATTTTGCTGACCTTTTTTTTATATCTGAACTACAACTATGAAAAAACTTTTGTGAACGTTTAACGTTGAATTTCAAGGAAATGTTTATTTAAGCAACGTGGAAATGACATTATTGGAGTCCTGCTCATGTTTGAACACGGCACCACTTCTAGAAAGCTCGAGCAGGGTTTTCCGTTTCTTTGCTTCTGCGAGCTTAGTTTCGGCTTCTTCCACTTCCTTGTCCACTTCTTTTAGTTCTTTTTCTTGTTTATGAGACGCCTTGACACTTTCCAAAAGGGAATCTGTAGGCTCAAAATCTTCGAAGTCATCCCTGTCAAAGTTATCTGCAATGACCCGATACGCATTGTACATCTCCAGTCCCAGATTGCAGCGATAATCATTTTCGAAAAACTTCATTTTACTGAACCCTGACTCAACCATCATATTGTGAGGGCAAAGTACTAAGACTGACTCCACGAGTTTCATCAAAGGCGCTTGTGCATCAAGTTCTTTTTTGCTGAATAATTCAAACAACGAAAAAGAAACTGTTTGTGTGACTCGCAATTGGGCCAAATCATCTAGAATTTGCGTCGAAGACAACTTGAAGGAGGCACTTTCCTAACCGCTGTTGAAGAAAGAAACTTCCGAAATCTGATTAGTAGTTTCTTCAAAAGAAACTCATCAAATTTGTTCCACTGCGTAGTTACTTCTGTAATTTCATTGTCATTCAACTTGCACAACTCCTCGTATACCAACGTATACAAATCAGTTTTCAGTTCCTTCGTTACGAGATACCGAACTTTTCGTGTACCTTCCACATGATGAACAATCCAGTATTCCAACCTGACTTTTCTATGGTGCGTCGATTCGTCAACATGCAGCACAAAAACAGAGCCTGCAGTTTCCTGAATCATTTTCTCAATAACCAAGGGCGCAATAGCAAGGCGTATAACATAACCTGCCTTGGTTCTTCCGCAGTCAATATCCGAAACGAAGAATCGGGGAACATCTTCGAGTAACATTTTCGCTTTCTTGACGCACTATCGCTAGATTTCAATGAGTTTCCATCCACTAGTCGCAAGCAATGAATGATCGTAGCCTTCAACCGCCCATTTTCTTGAGTTACAATAGGTGCTATACGGCATTGTATATTCGGTTGACTTGCAGCAGAACTAGCAGCAGCGGTGTGATTCGCGGATGATGCATGTCTTCCCAGCGTCTGTATACCTGATTTCACACCAATAACTTTCCCCGGACACAGTATACACCTGGCTTTGTCGGGAACTGCTACTGCCTAGGGGTGTGTCTCTTTCCACGCCTCTTGAAACTTGCACACACCCATCTCTCTGAAAAACAAAAATTTGATTTTATGCCGAGTTGCCAGAAAGTGAACCACTAGTAACAAGAAAAAAACAAGTATCATGGCAAAAAAACGTATATTCTGACTTTTTCTGACCTCCGACCAAATAACTGACCATTTCTGACTGGTCAGAAAAATCTGACCAAGTGGAAACCCTGGTTTTAGAATTCGTTTTTTATAACTTTTTTGTCACGCAGAATCAGGTAACACAAATTAACGTCAATTGGAGACTAGTGATATAACATACAGGAGCCATTAAAATTGCAATTCGATCATTATTAAAATTTCCAAATTTTTCTTGGTGTCTTGAAAAACCGGTTGCAGAATTTTGATTTTTAGTCCAATTCAACAGCGAGCAAAACAAGCTATTAGAGCGTAAAGCATTTTAGTAATTGTTTTTTTTTTATTTCGAAAACTATTTTTTAAATTACAACATATGGTCGGTCGGTACGGTATATTCTGTGCTACGGGTACAAGCACCTGCAACTTTTTCCGAACACTTGCGCAGCTATCGGCCTACTGGTTCTGTTCTAAGGGGACATACTTGGATTCAATGAACCTATATCAATAACCAACCTTGGGCTAAAAATTTAAGAATTGCATTTGACAAAATCTTTTTTAATGCTGATAAACTTTTAATGACTTGAATTTCGCCTGACATTGAATCAGAATTAAATTGATTGTTTGAAGCTGAGAGTAGGGTGGCGTCCATTATGATGGAGGGACCGAATGTTGGATATTTATTTTCTGCCAATCAGAATTGAGTATTAAAAAATCTTGAAGACCGAATTACTCTAGGCGATTAAAATTAATATTGAACAATCAAAAAATAAGCAGGTTTACAAAAATTCAATTAATTCGAAACTGAGTCGGGTATTGGAAAAAACGTACAACAGATTTTTAAAAATGATTAATAAAACAAATTCTACACAAAAATCTACACGAATTGTAGAGCAAAACTATGCTGTGCTGCTATAATTCACTTTCTGTAAAAAATTGTGAAAAATGTGGGCAAAAATAATTAAGATAATAGGAACGCCTAATCATTCTGATTGGCTAAAAATTTTCCATCATTCGGTCCTTCCATCAAGAGAATACCCTCCTGAGAGCAGCTATATACGGCGCCAACTTTCTGGTCCCTCGAAACTCAAAATAATATTCTCTGGCTAGAACATCGCTGGCTAGATTATATAAGTGTACACGTTTGTTTGTACGTTTGAACACGTTTCAGATATTCGAAGCAACGCAAGCACGAGATGCAAGAATACCAAAGAGGGGGTTACCTTTACGGCACATTGAACACCAGAAGAACAAACCAGCCGCCCATGTGGCAGTGATGCGAAAAATCAAGGATCTTTCGAACCTTCAACTCGCCGGATCAGCAATGCTACTCCAAACATAATTGTTTAATTTCACTTTACCAAACTTTCTGCCTCTTTACTTTTTCGCCTCTTAGATTTTTAAGCTTAAGTTCATTCTGAAAACCTCGTATTCCAAATCAAATAATTAATAACTCATACCAATAGATAAATTTACAATTCTACTTGAAATTTCTAAATCAAGCTAAAAAAGACAAAAATATCAAGAACAAATTCTTTCTCATGAAAATAATCTTGTTTCGCGACTTCAGTTCACACGGGCGAGCTATTTTGCAAAATGTTTTGAAAAATTAATTTATGGCGACTAGCTAGTATCTATCTCATAGGGTTTATATTAGATCAAAGAAGATAGAAAGTTCGATACACAGACAACCAAAATATATTTGTTATATTTCTTAAGTGTTAAGTTAAAAGTACTTCAGAATTAATTATACAAAATTTATGCGTTCTTTTTTACACATTTTTGAAGCCCAAATATTTGAAACCCAAACAATGCATAATAATAGCATAAGATGCGAAATGGTTAAGATCTTGAAAAAAATTAAAGTAAGAGTCAATACTTCTTACTTCTGCTTACTTCTGAGTATTATAGTAAGTTATTAGTACTATAGACTTAGAGTAGTAAAGTACTGATGGAAAGAATCATCAAGTTTCAGTTATTAATCACAAATCCGACTTTTTAAGTTTTTAAGGATTTGTTGAGGATGTCTGAAAAAGAAGCTGTCGTGTCTGTATTTGAACTTTGAGCGGAGTGGCACGTCGGCCTTCGGGTAGATGAGGTGTAAATGAAGGTGATCGACTGAGATGAGGGGTGGGTAGTGGAAACCAACTAAGACATCGTCACCCAGTCTGAAACAATTCAAAACAAGACTGTTCATATCAAGGCGCAGCCCTGAATGTTCCGGGTGTCTATCAAATCTATGGATAAGTGTTCAGCTTAAGAAATATTGATGAAATTTTCAAAAAAAAAGAAAAAAAATTTTTGAAGATTTTTTAAAAAATCATCCCCCACGCCAATGTAAAGTAGAAAATGATCTATTTCTCATACAGCAAAGTTTTAAATATACCAAATAGCATACCTCAATTCAATTGAGAACGATTTTTAAGACGGATTAAATCTCCGCTTACGCGTTAGTAGAACGAAACATCGCTCGTTAAAAGTCCTAAATTGACTATCTTTAAAACCCCATGACTTAACAATAAACGATCTCAGATGAAATATATATTTTTTTAATTTCAGCTCAAGGCAACAATACCTTTCGAATGATTTTTTAAAACTCCGCAAAAATTGCTAGTTACAATACAAAATTTGAGAAAAAATTCACCCTGAGCGATTTCAAAAATCGGAACAACTACGATCAAAGTCAGCTGCGGTCGATGACCTCCAAAATGTTTTTCAAGGCACCTTTTTCCCCAGCTAACTTCCTTCTTACTAATTTGTTCGTCAGTTACGTGGGAAGGATATATGTTACCCAATATGCCGGAGCCGATCCCACCTTAAGAAGGTCGATTACACTGGGCCCCTCCAACGGTAATCAAAGTGGTGTGCGAACCATCGACCTTCAAGGTACCTTAATACACCCTCGCGGATAGCGGCTTGATTTCCGGTCTCCATTTTCGAAAAAGCTTTAATTGAGAAAAATATATCAAAAAGACGTCACTTCAACTAAAAACGAGCCTATCAAATTTAATAATGATATATTTGAAAGATTACTTCCTCAGTGAAAGGTAGCTTTTTATGGCGGTTTTAAGGCAAGAGTAGTGCTCTAGTAACTTTGTAAAAGCTGAAACAGAAAAAAGTAGGATTTTTTGTAGACTCTAAAACAGATCCTTCTTTCCTTTGATCTCTGTCAGGATACACGTTCCTTCTTGATAACCAGTAAGAAGACCAATTCTCTATCTGCAATGAGAACTCACAAACTGCAACTATTTCTGATTGATACAAAATGCACCAACTATATACCATTTTTTAGCTGCATGCGCTATTATTATATACCAAGTATTTATTTTTAGCTGTAGAAAAGAATTCTCAATTCATCTCTAAGAAACAGTTAGTTTCGAAGTTTAGCGGAAAAGGAGCGCCGATCTGATCAAGAACGATCAGGACCCAAGTAAGTGGGTCATCATAATCTTTTTGAAGAGAAAATCCACTGTTCCATACCTTAAATATCGGCGGTACTTGTGCGGAATTCAGAACCAAGTTTTTGCCCTTTTGTGGAATCAGTAACACTATTTGGAATTCACTAACAAATGCTGATACATTCCGCAATGGAATGAACTGACTAACCTGTCTTCTGAGAAGCCAGTCTCACTTGTCAATGCTTTCAGTCCCTCTTTCCAAATTTCATCTACTAATGAAGCATGAGCCGATTTAAGATTCTTCACAGTCTTAATGTGCTCAACAGGACACGCCAGCAAATGATGAGCTGAGGCAGGGGATCGATCTCTGAACACTACCACAGTTTCAGTTCGAGCAATTATTTTCTTCGAGTCATTTTCCACGATGCTGCAAAAAGTACAGCCCTGTTGTTTGTTTGACGAAAAAAGTTGGCCCATTTGACACCCACGCGTGCATTTGTGGTCTGAAACTACGCCTCACAAGTTCAATAAGACCTTTTGCCCGTTTCAAGGTCAAAAACTTACAAATAAGAAACAAAATCAAAGAAAGCAAAGCAAATAAGAATAGACAATTTGCTTTGCAAGTGAAACAGAAGTTCTGAGAATTCATTTTCCAAAAAAGTTTAAGCGCAAAGACGGAGCCTAGCCTTAAACTACTTGCGATGCAACGCAAACAGCATGGTCAGCTATTCTAAAAAGAGACAAAAGCCAAGAAATCGGAGCTCTTCCAAAAACATTGAAACTTCAAACGCTTGACTCGAATGAAGTTCAATTTGCGAAGATACACATCAAGACAATTTTTTGCTTAATTAAATTAGTATTGGGACAAAAGCTTTCCAAGCGGCAAATAAACCGACAAAGTCTGTGTGGATCTCAATAAATAGCTCCAATAAGAAAGTTCGCAATGAAGTCCAACTCCAAACCTTTGCCGTCTCAAGCATGGGCGTTACCTCTGCGCAAAATAGGCAGAGCCAGGTATTGGCTTTGAAACTCATAAACTTCACACATCCAAGATTTGTGATAACATTTTTCACAGGAAAAAATTCCGGTATCAGTTTGCGATTATTCCTAATTTTTTTTGTGCGAGTCTGGGGGGAGACTTACAAATTAGCTGAGATTAACTACCCGTTCCCTTCCTTATCGAGTATTTTTCGCCACTAGCTTAAAATGAATCAACATGAAGAATTTTTTTTGCTCTAATTTCGTGCAATTTGTTTATATTGATTCATTTTAAGATAGTTGCAAAAATTGAAACCGGTTTTTCTCAACAAGGAGGTAAAATGTATTTTTATTCACAGATAGGCGTAGCTGAGCTTCGCAACACTTGCGATACAAAAAAAAATGCGCTTCAAGACTAGAAATGGAAGGAAAGACAAAAGGCAAAAAATTGAAAAAATTACTTGTAAATATAACTTGAAAAAAGTCGAAAAAACTGCACCCACGGACATTGTGGCAATGTTTTAAAACAAGGGTATTTCAAAACAATTTAAAACTGTGTTTTAAAACTCTTGTTGTTTTTCAATGTTCTTTATTAATGTTTTTTTTTCAACTTTACGGGCTCATTTTGCTTTATATACACCTCGTTTTGCTTAGATTGACAGCTTGCTAGGAACACTTAAAAGGTGTTATGAAAAACAATTTGTCTGACATTTCCTTTGAGACTAAGGCCTTTGTTCCGAATTCTTTGTTTGATGAGATTCGTTCACACCGATAGGGAGCGAAAATGATCACAAGCGGCCTTCTCTATGAGAAAATTGGACGAATCGTCAAAAGTTTTAATGTTAAGTTTGTAAATAATTTAAAACTTATATGCTTCTGGGTAAGCTATAATAAATAGATTTCATTTTAATTGCTTTCATTGATTTTGAAATGTGCTTTACCATACAACGTGCAATCTCAAGTAACAGCCACAGATCGTGGACCTCGAATCAATCAACACAACAATCTAGTTACAATGCAAAAGGCAGAAAACGTTTTCAGAGAAAAACTAATATCTGAAAAGAGTAACATTCTCATTGAAAACCAAAACTTAACAAAAGATTAAAATCGCACACAAATTTTTTTTATTAGGAACTAAATAAAGAGGCAAATACCAACCTTGCGTTTAGAATAATGCATCAAGCTCACTTAACACTAATGCAACAAAATCTTTGCTTGTAAAAAATTAGAAAAAGGCATTTGATTCTAAAATAATTATGAACTATAAATGTTACAGTTTGACAAAAAGTATACTTTTTTACTTTCAGATTTCTTTTACCTTGATGTCCATGGGCTTCAAGTTAAGGACCCTTGGCTGTATATGCTTCTGGGTAAGCTATAATAATTAGATTTCATTTTAATTGCTTTCATTGATTTTGAAATGTGCTTTACCATACAACATGCAATCTCAAGTAACAGCCACAGATTGTGGACCTCGAATCAATCAACACAACAATCTAGTTACAATGCAAAAGGCAGAAAACGTTTTCAGAGAAAAACTAATATCTGATATGAACACTGTACATAGGCCAAACTATAAAACTACTAATAAAATACATTTATAAAAGATACAAAATAGTTTTCTCAGTTGCATTAGTTACTACTTGGTTCAATCACAGGTCATCAAATGACAGCGTCGACAGGTTGGCAGATGACAGGCTCGCAGATGAAAGTTAGAAGATGACAAGCTCGCAGATGACAGTTTAGATGACAGGCTAGCAGATGACATGTTAGCAGAAGACAGGCTAGCAGATGGCAGCTTTTGCAAAGATTGGTTGAAAACTCGTTAGCGTTAGTTAGCAGGAAAATGAAGACTAGCGAGCTTAGAAAAATCGCTTAATTAGCTCTGATGTAAATACCGATTTAGTAATTTTCAAAAAAAGATTCACCGAAGGCATTTTGTCACGTCATATCTAATGCAACGTTGTTAGAAAAAAAGCCTATGTGTATTAGTGCAGTTCATTTATAGTCAATGCCAAATTGTATATAAACTAAATAAATTAACCTAAGTCTGCTCATTTTGACATTAGATTTCTGTGTTTCACTGGTTCTACGTTAAAAACAAAAAATTAATTAACTTAAAAAGCTTTAGTTTTTGACCGAAAAAACCCAAGTTCGTCGATATTATAATGGTAAAGATGCAATTATTAGCGCTAGCCTCTGGGTTCAATCCAGTTTTCGGTCACTCGTAGAAAGAGATAACTTCTTCTATAGTCTCTTTCTTTTTCATCAGTGCAAATGCATTGAAAACGGTTTTTTAGAAATATATAAAAAAAATTATGACCTGAAACAAGCTTTACGTTTTCACAACATAAATTATAGTAGTTTTATTTAAAATTGAGCATTTTTACATGGGAAAATTCTAGAACCCTTGGTAATCGTAAGGGCAAGAAACAGCGTTCAAAACACGACTGAAAAGATTTCAATATGATATATCACTCGACCGCATCTGCATTTATCTTCGAAAACTAATTTTACATGCGAAAAAAATCAAAACATACAGGAATACTCGAGAGATTCCTGACCACAATGATTAAGGAATAGCAAACCAAATAGGATGCAGTTTTTTTAATCAAGTTTTTTCAACTATTCAAATGGTCAGAGCTAGAAAATCACCAGTAAAGAACCGTAAAACTAAAACTTCAAATTACCGTAGAAATCAAAATGCAAAAAATAAAATTCACTCAAGCTAGCCGGCAAAATAGCTGTAGCAAGTTATAAATCGCCGAATAGAAACTTCGTTTGTAATCAATTCATTATTCTAACACAGGCGAAGCTACATTTTACAAGCAGAAAATGGCAAGCACGAGGGTTCAAAACTACTCAAATACAAAAAAAATCTGTCCTTAGAACCCTTGATTAAGAGTTAGAAGTTCTAGCGACTGCGCTAGATTGACTGGCTTTCTCCTCGCATAAGCCAAACATAAATGCAATAAATGCTTGTGTCAAAAAATACTATTTCAATTCTTTCAGCTTTCTTAAATTCCAGCGTAAAATGTGAAATGAAAATCAGAGAAGAAATTTCAAAACCTACTTTAAAAAGTAACATTTGCATTGAAAACCAAAACTTAACAAAAGATTAATATCGCCAGCAAATTTTTTTTGTAGGAATTAAATAAAGAGGCAAATACCAACCTTGCGTTTAGAATAATGCATCAAGCTCACTTAACACAAATTCAACAAAATCTTTGCTTGTAAAAAATTAGAAAAAGGCATTTGATTCTAAAATAATTATGAACTATAAATGTTACAGTTTGACAAAAAGTATACTTTTTTACTTTCAGATTTCTTTTACCTTGATGTCCATGGGCTTCAAGTTAAGGACCCTTGGCTGTATATGCTTCTGGGTAAGCTATAATAATTAGATTTCATTTTAATTGCTTTCATTGATTTTGAAATGTGCTTTACCATACAACGTGCAATCTCAACTAACAGCCACAGATTGTGGACCTCGAATCAATCAACACAACAATCTAGTTACAATGCAAAAGGCAGAAAACGTTTTCAGAGAAAAACTAATATCTGATATGAACACTGTACATAGGCCAAACTATAAAACTACTAATAAAATACATTTATAAAAGATACAAAATAGTTTTCTCAGTTGCATTAGTTACTACTTGGTTCAATCACAGGTCATCAAATGACAGCGTCGACAGATAACAGGCTCGCAGATGAAAGTTAGAAGATGACAAGCTCGCAGATGACAGGTTAGATGACAGGCTAGCAGATGACATGTTAGCAGAAGACAGGCTAGCAGATGGCAGCTTTTGCAAAGATTGGTTAAAAACTCGTTAGCGTTAGTTAGCAGGAAAATGAAGACTAGCGAGCTTAGAAAAATCGCTAAATCGTTTCTGAAGTAAATACCGATTAAGTAATTTTCAAAGAAAGATTCACCGAAGGCATTTTTTAACGTCATATCTAATGCAACGTTGTTAGAAAAAATTCCAATGTGTATTAGTGCAGTTCATTTATAGTTAATGCCAAATTGTTCATTAACAAAATAAATTAACCTAAAACTGCTCATTTTGACATTAGATTTCTGTGTTTCACTGGTTCTACTTTAAAAACAAAAAGTTAATTAACTAAAAAAGCTTAAGTTTTTGACCGAAAAAACCCAAGTTCGCCGATATTATAATGGTAAAGATGCAATCATTAGCGCTAGCCTCTGGGTTCAGTCCAGTTTTCGGTCACTCGTAGAAAGAGATAACTTCTTCTATAGTCTCTTTCTTTTTCATCAGTGCGAATTGTGCCTTGTCCGCAGTAGGTCTTCTGAACTCGTACACCGCAGGCACTGGTCGAGAACAATGGCGACTCCACATGCCAACGGTGTAACCTCCGGTATCACACACGATCAGCCAGTCCCCTGTTTAAAAGACACATTGAAAATATAAAAACTTTTTTTTCAAATAAACTAATTTAACACCTTAACAAATATACCAAGCGGAGCTTTACATTACTTGTGATACAAAAATGTATGCCAGTGTTCACCCATTATAAATTGACTGTAAAAATCTTGAACATATTTCATAATTTAAAAAAAATCAAAGTATTTCAAGAGCAGACTTTATCCAGTCATTCTTTGAAACACTCATAATTCATTACAGCTCATTTGAGAAAACTCGAAACAGGTCAAAAAATTATTTATGAAAAACGAGAAAAGTTTCAAAAACGAAAAAACATTATAATTTTTTCAAATTGTTGCAATGAGATTAAATCATGATTTAAAATAATTTGATAATACAATACAAGTGTGAAAAGTTAGGACAGGGCTCTACTCATTGTTTTCTTGTCACCGCGAAGACTCTTTGTTGTATATGAAAACGAAAACTTAAAACAAAAACTTCACAAACACCAGCAAAAATCTGAAAAAGGGAGCTTAAGAATTGCAAGAAAATGAGCTTTGAAAATCAATTTGAGGCCCACAGGATTTGAACCGACAAAAAGCAGACACGCGATAGACCAATAATTCTTTTTCTATTCGACAGAAAATTTTGAGTTCGCAACCAAGAAAGAGGTCCTCGCCGGATCCGAACCCTGAGCTTTTATCGTTCCGGGCATAGATGCTACCTCTGCGCCAAATAAACAGAAAACTACGCTAAAAATGAATTTAGTAAAAAGCAAACTGCAGGCGTAACAAATGTCTGATTCAGTAAATTGGGAGGGCAAAGAAATGTAATAACGAGATATATCACATAGATGAGGCTTCGCGTAGCCAAAAACGGCAAAACGATCATTAAAAAAGCAAGAAAATTAAGATTTAAAATTAACAAGAATTAACCGATAAAAATTTCGAATCAGGGACATTTAGATTAGTATCATGCTTTCCCCATTAATCCATCCGCTTGTCTTAAATCGTTAACTCATCTTCTAATGGTAAATACCAGGCAGCAATGAATGCGCTTTAATAAAGCGGATGAAACATACGGTACTTTATAGCTCGCTTAATTAAATTTGAGCAGTCTACATGTATACAAAACGGAATAAAAAAATCAACGCCAAAAATTGTTACTTGATGGAAAAAAGATTTCATATTATAAGCTTTTGATTGCGTAAATAAGGAAAATAACGATACCTACACTTAAGTTTTTTTAAAATAGTTGAACAGCAAAAGACTGATGATTATGATTTCAAATCACTCAGAGCCGAAGCTGAATTTCGTTTAAAAAGCAAAAAAGCAAACAAAGGCTTTAAAGTAGAAAAAAGTTACAATTTACTTAAATCAAACTTGAGATAAGACTCCGTGAAAACCACTCAAAAAAGGTGAGCTTACTGATGCTTAATCGAGATCTCTGTTTTTGTTTAGATATCGTGGAAAAAATTACACAGCAGCCAAGCTGCACCTCGCACACAGCCGCGAAAATAACATCAGGGAGCTTCAAAACTCAAAAAAATCAAAGCAACACCTTATGTTTTCGCGAATGCACCATTGCTGCCTATTTGTTGTCTATATACCAGGCAGCACTGAATGCTCTGACACGAAATAAAGCAAGCGGATAGACATGCTTCTATATAATCAAGGAGATTTTGAGCAGAACACAAACACTAAAACTGAAAACATAGCCAAAAGATATGAAAAGAGGCAATGAACGCAATTAAACAGAAAAAAAAACGGACTTACAGAGAAAAAATAGATGCCCTTACAGATCTTTGAATTTCAAGAACAACTTATTATTGGTGCTTTTTTGATAAAATTAACTCAATTTGAGAAGACTGGATCATTAGGCAATTTTTTTTTCGCTGAGAAATCTGAAAATTAAAATTCATTGTCGAAACTAGAAGTCGATCACGTTTTTGCTGTTCGATAGTGGAGTTTGCCTTCCTTTTAACAAATGAATTGAACAGAACTTGAGAAGAAATCCAAAGTCAAACCGCGATAAAGTAAATTTGAGCCTAAACAAATTTTAAAACTTTTCCTGAAAAAAAATCATAACGACCTATATAAAAGTCTGAGCTACGTTTACCGGCTCTTAAACAAAAGTTGAACTCAAAAATTTGCAAAATTAGGAACGAAAAAATTGATTTAAAGAAGCGTTTGCAGCCGTGAAAACAGAGAATAACAAATACCACGGAAATTTCGGTCCACAATTGTTTTTGAAACAAAGAACTTTTTTTTCAGTTTCAGTTACTTTTTTGTGCTTGTTTTGAGTAAATAAACACAACGTTTCCTGGAACTTTACTAAGAGTTTTAATTGATTGCAGCTATCTTCACAAAGTTAATGAGAAAGCAAAAACTAAGACATATTTTTTCAGCTTCATTTTGTTAGGGTTTTGGCAACTCTTGGTACAGGGGAAATGTTACAATAAGCTTCAAGAACTAATTTTTTAAAGCTGAAAACTAAATTATTTATAGCTTAATTTTGTTTCGCGTTACTCGCTCGCTTTAATTGCTCCAAACTGCACTAAAATAATTTTAAACAGATTTTTCTCGACACTAAAAAAACGCAGGAATTTTTTTTTTTTAGTTGACCGACTGGCGACTGAAAGGAACTTCATATGATATTTTACTCTAACCATTCTGGTGAGTATTTGTTGTACCTGATTTTGCTTTGAAAAAAAACACGCAGAGACAAAGTTCCTCCCAAATTTCAGTAAACGAAAAAATAATCATCAAATGTCACAGAAGGTCCAAGCGAGTATAAAAACGCAGGGAATACCTCACAATAATGGGCTTTTTTTCCGCTAAAAACGCAGAAAAGCAACTGATTTTATAGACATGGGAACCAAAAATATCTCTCTTTGATGCCAACAGCATTTTTTAACAACTTGAAAAACTCATTTGATTCGAAATTGATTGGTCGTTTCAGTTTATAGTGTAGCCATACCTGGCTGAGGGTTCACCAACTTTCTGCTTCTCGCAATTTTATCTCCACCAAAACAAAGTGGCCCTGCCACGTCACAAACCACCTCTTTATCATCCCCGCTTGACTCTTTGAAAGAACCATCCGGGTTACATACAAACATTCGCAAGGGCCACGCTTCAGGCAGGTAACAGGTCCTCAGAAGCAGATCCGCTCCTATATGCTGAATCACGATGGTCAGGTCGTTCACAGTCTTGGTATACTCTATTCGGCCCACAGCGAAGCCAGACTTGGTTGTAAATGTGCGGCCGTTTTCAGACATGATGACGTACTTGCCAGATAGCAATTCAGGTACGTTCTAAAACAGCATATTTTGCACTCCGAGTGCCAAAACATGAAGCTGAAAACTTTAAAAATGAAGTGCATCCAACTGAAGTTGGTTGAGGGATAAAGATTTCAAATCATTGCACCTTGGACAAGAATCTGAAATTTACTAGAAAAAAAATCTGGTGAAGTTTATAGAAAAACAAAACATTACCAACAATTACAACGGGTATAAATATATTCTGTGAAAACAAATCGTTTTGACCGAACCAAAAAAAAGTTTAGAAAAATTTAGAACCAGAAAGGCACCCTTGCATAATCAGTTCAAATGGTGTCAAAAATTTATTAAAAACTCCAAGCTTCGGGACTCCACCTGTTTAATTTGGTTCACGAAGTCTGGAAACGTAGCCAGATGTTTCTCGTAGTCATCCGAATCATACAACGTCGGCAAACCACCGCCAATGTCCAGAGCCTTGATCTTCTGCTCATCGAACTTCGAATTTATCTCTTCAGCCAGATCAACCACCTTTTTCACCGCCTCGACCAAAGCCGAAATCCCAAATGCTTGCGACCCAATGTGAAAATGCAGTGTATTCAGCCATTTATAAATCTCAAAAAATTTGATAATCTCTTCTTTGTAGACTGTCATTGGAAGCCCAAATTTGGAATACAAATCCGAAGTACTTGTTTCGGTTCTTTCACCGAAGCCAACGCATGGATTCAACCTGATTCCTAGATACTTCGGGATTTGGTCTTCTGGCAAGTTAAGTGCATTAATTATCTCATCCATTCGAACCAATTCTTGACCATTGTCCGCATTCATGTTGACTTTCCGTTCAATTCCGAACCTAATTTCGTCAACGGTTTTACAAGGACTGTCCCATATGATATTTGAAGCTTCGACACCATTTCGTAAAGCAATTTCAACTTCAGTAAGCGAAGCCGCCTCCGCGCCGAAATTCAAACTTGGAAGACGTTGCATTAATTTTGGAAAAGGCGCCGCTTTTACAGCAAAACAGTGCAGAAACTGTACGTTTTCTGAGGCAAACGCCTCCTGAAACTTTGTGAGAACTTTCTCGAAATAATCAAGGTCGAAAAACAAGACATTTGGTTCATTGTCAGAGACGATATTTTCTTCGATAGCTTGCGCCAAAACACTGCAACGGCTCTTGTCCAGACTTTCCATTTTAGTTTACTCTAAATATTAACATATTAGTAAAACTGAAAAAAGGTAGTTAACCGCAATCCTGTTTAGACAAATATGACGCAGCTGACACATAAATTGATCAACTCCTGATTTACCTACAAACTTCAATCCATTAAAAAAATACTCTAAAAAGACAAACATTGATTAACGCTTACACTCGCGCTGAATGTAAGCAGAGCGGAGCAAGCGGTCGCTATTTCCCAAGGCCGCTCTTGAAGTTAGCGTTCGATTGGGGGTCAGGTTTTTAAAAGACAAATCTTTTAGCATAAAAAACAAAAACTGAGTCTTTTAGCAGAGCAAACTTATACAATTGATACACAGTTGGTTGAAAAATAAATTGCTTATTCTTATCTCGAGCCTCCCGAAATAAGCCAATTAGCCAGCCCACAGTTTGTCAACAAAAATCTATGAAAAAAAAACAGAATAAGTAAAAATCACTGCAAACTAGCGGCAAAAACTGATATCCGCGCATAAAATCTTTGGTGCCCAAAAAAGCACGGCGGAATAAAAGTGAGCAATTGGTCGCTACATGGTACGTTTGAATTTAGCGTTCTGACTTGCTAATTGTTAAGAGTCTGCGAAAAGGCCTGTCTGCTGAAAAAACTGTCAGCTTAACAACCTAGCACCATTCTTCTGATTAAGTCTGCGGAGAAACCACTCCTGACCAGGGCCTTTCAAAGGTTAATCGCAATTAACCGAGTCGGTTTTTTTGGCCCCGATCAATTAATCGATTATTTAACTAGGTCAACCTCGATTAATCGGCAATTAATCGATTAATCTTCCAGTTCTGCATTTTCGCGTGTTGTAGGAAACAAGTCAATTAAATCTTGGCAACTTTCAAAATTTGCGAAAAACGGTTTTAACTCGAAGTATCGTTTCACCATTTCTGCCGTACTGCTCCATCGCGTCACGTTTCTCTGCACAGACGATAAAGTTGTGTAATTTCGAAGTTAAGCTGCGTACTTGATATTCTTGAATTTTCCCATTAAATTGCTGACTTTTTCAAGAACTAATTTATGATGCGAAAGTTGCAAATTCACGGCCAAATTAAAACGATGAGACACAATGTAAATAATCGATGATTAACCGGCGCTCAACGATCAATTTGGACTCACGGAGAAAGCGTCGCAATCAATCAATCGATTCGCGATTAATCGATTATACAATTAACCTTTGAAAGGCCCTGCTCCTGACTATATGATATAAACAATTAACAAGACTGCTCGTATATCAGGGCAAAGCCCTGAATGTTCCGAGTGCCCTTTAATTGGTCTCGAATAAATTTACGTGAAAGAAAATATTGAACAAACTCGAAGATCAAGTGTGAAAATATTAGCCGTAAGAAATTAATACAACCGACGGGGCGTTCAACAGTGCCGAAGTACAACAGTGCCGAAAAAGGCGGGAAAATTTCAGAATAATTTACACGCATTTTCTAAAGAGCGGGAAATTACTGACGCTAATATCAAAGAAAACCACTCCAATTTCGGCGCCAAAATGCCTGAAACAGCAAATTAAACAATTATTTTGGCGGCAAAACGTCTAAATTGCAAATTTTCTCTTTCAAAATCTTTAAGTGCCATTTAAGATTGTAAACGATCGCTGTTTAATTTTTGATTGCCGCACTTAATATGTTGAAATTTGTTCAAATTTTCGACACTGTTGAACAAAGTTTTCATTTTCGGCACTGTTATACTTCGGCACTACTGTACTGCCCCCAACCGACTAGTCACAATTCAATTTGGAACGATTTTGTTGTGCGGGATAACTCGCCAGCATAAATAATAGCTTTAAGATCACAGCATTATTAATCAAATATTCTAAACACGGATAAATTAGTCCACAGCATGGCCAAATAGGCTATTTTCAAACTCCCAGAATTTGCAAAAAAACTATCTGAGTTGAAATATCGTTTTACATTTTAATTCAGGGAGCCGATAGGTTATATTTTTCAGCGAGTCGATAGGGAATATTAGATAGTCGATAGGGTATACCAGGGAGTCGATAAGATATATCAGGGATAGTCAGTGGGTTTTTTTTGTTAAAAAAGTATTTCGATTGAAAATTAACTGAGTAAAAACCACACCACGCATAAAAATTCCATTTTCTTCGAAAGTCAAACAATTAAGCTTGAACTTAGACCATGAAAGTAAATAGACTGCAACATAAACCTGAAATTGTGTAGTAACCACTGTGTACATATAATTTATTTCGCAACCACCGAATGCAACTGTGTACTTATAAATTTATAATGTGTACGCAGAACAATGCGAATATCCGACTTAAAAATTAATAACAATCAAAAATCAGAACATATCTTCATTCGAAAAACTAATATTAGGCAAAGATGCATAAACATGAAGAAGAAAAATCACTGTTTAAATAATGACTGTTTCATTTAATGAATAACGACGACAATTGTTTACACAGAAGCCAAGCAACGCCACAACCGAGGCTAGGCCTTTTACCAGACCGACCGTTTATCAAACCGACCTTTTACCGGGTCTAGGACAACAAGCCGACGGGACTTCAAGCCGAAGGGACTTCAGGCCGAAAATTAAACTTTACAAGCACCTCAAATCCATATTTTTTCATCTGTACAACGTTGCTTTTCAAAATCTTACGCTAGTTTAGTCCATAATACGCGTTATTTATGACAATGAATCACTTAGGATTGACATCCGTTAATAATATCAGCCGGTTTTTGAAATGCATAAATTATAAACAAGAAATTTGCCTTCCACCGTGTTTTATTTTTCAATTTTCACAAACATCATTTGGAGGTTTAAATTTTATGAAAACGGTAATAAATACCGACTAAGGATCATGAAGATGAGAAAATCTTCAGAAAAGTGTTCAAATTATTCTTATTTCATGACTTAATGATAAAATTTTCGGCTTGAAGTCCCTAATTTTACGATTCGGCTTGAAGTCCCGTCGGCTTGATGTCCGGCACCCCCTTTTACCAGACCACAATGCAATAATTCAATTAAGATAAGTTTAAATTATAGTGGAAAACTGGAAAAGGGAGCGGTTAGAACAAATAAAAATTCGGTGAAAAACCGTGAAATCATTGTCTTTAACCAGACTAAAGGGCGTCATTACATCTGTCAACCAAATTTGTTTATCAAGTCTGGTAGAAGGTACATGTTATAAGTTTTCTAATAAAAAGTCGGACTGGTAAAAGTTCGGTCAGTTTTACAACCACAAGCGAGAAAGGGCGAATGGGTGCTAGGGATTTTAGCAGACCGGTTTTTTAGCAGACCAATCTTTTAGCAGACTCAGAACCATTATAAAGTCAAATGGCTAACTTCAAACGCGGCATTGGCGATTAGCGACCGCTTGCTCCGCTATGCTTCAATTCAACACGGGTGTTATTGTGCGCGTAAGCCTTTATTTTGCCGCTAATTTGGACTGTTGTGTTTCTGAAATTAATAGTTTTGTTGACAAATTGTGAGACAAATTGTTGACCCTAGACTGAGCATCTTTTAGAATCTGTCAATCAAGCGCACAAGTTTTTCACAAAATGTACGCTTTGTTGCTCGCACATATTTTGCAATTCTGAAAAGTTTATAAACTTAACTATGATGTAAATTGCCTTTTTTTGCTTCATTTAATACAATAAAAAAGCATCTGTGTTAAACTATTAGTAATCAAAATTCAAAGCATATGCTTTTAAATTGCCAATGCTTCCCGCGGCCAAAGCCACTAAACAAAAGTAGCAATAATACTTGCTACTTGGGTTGCAAAAAAAATTTGCTTCGCTAAATAAAAATAGCTACGCTTGTGACACAAAGCTGTGAATCAGCATGGACACACACCTGTCAACAATTAAATTAAGCTGCTGTCAATTAAATCAATGAAAAATATTCATAATGCTAATCCACTTCAGGCGACTTATAACAGAGTAAATAGTGTGAAGAGAGTCTGCTAGGCAGCAGGTTAATATAATTATACTCACGCACAAAAAATGGAGTTTGGAAGCTTTTAAACATAAGGAGTGCAGACAATCTGCTTCTAGGTAACTTCGTGTGTGAATAAGATCGTAACAGATAAAAATTCATTTTACCCAAGTTCGAAGGCAATTGGTAATTGTGATTTAGAGGCAACTAGCGTGTAACGCACCTCCGTGCTTCGAATTTTTGACAACTTATAAAAAACCGCATATATCAGAAAAAAGATCTGCATCCTTTGAGTGTACTCTTGCAGCACCCAATTACAGGGTTGGTAATTTCAAATTTTGTAAAACCATAAAAATTTGAATTATACATCAGTTCATTGGAAAAAAATAAAATTACATAAAAACGTCAAATCTCGGGTACTAAAAGCAATTGAGCAGTCGCATTCGGACGCAAGATTTGAAATTCCTGAGAGTACTCTCACAGCACCCAACTTCAGCGTTGCGAATTTCAAATTTAAAGAAAAATCTTATTTTTAAATTTCAGTTTTTTGAAAAAGTTTTGAAAAAATCACAAAAACGTCATATCTGGAAAACAACAAATATTTGAGTAGTCGTTTTTAGAGGCAAGAATTGCAACGCCTGAGAGTACTATCACGGTGAACAACTAAAGCGTTAAGAATTTCAAATTTTGAGAAACTTCAATTGTAAGTTTTCTAAACAAATTCTTTGAAAGCAACCCCTGGCAAGACTCTGACAGCCCCAAGTACAGGGCTAGAAATTTCAAATTTTGAAGAAAAAAAATTAACTTAACTTTTTTTGAAAAATCACAAAAAACGTCATATCTCGAAAAATACAATGAATTGAGCAGTCATATTGTGAGGTACAATTCGCAACCCCTGGGAGTACGCTTGCAGCGCCCAACTACAGGGTTGCGAATACCAAATGTTGAAAAAAATTTTAAATTTCACTTTTTCGAAAAAATCACAAAAAACGTCATATCTCGAAAACTACAATGAATTGAGCAGTCATATTGTGAGGTAAAATTCGCAACCCCTGGGAGTACGCTGACAGCGCCTAACTACAGGGTTGCCTATACCAAATGTTGAAAAAAAATTTAAATTTCACTTTTTTGAAAAAATCACAAAAAATGTCATATCTCGAAAACTAATGAATTGAGCTGTCAAAATTGGAAGCAAGATTCGCAACCTCTACGAGTACCTAAGCAGCGCCAAATACAGGGTTGGGAATGTCAAAAATTTTCTTTCAAATCTAAGTTTTCTGAAAATTGCAAATTGGAGCAGTCATAATTGGAGGCCGAATTTGCAACCCTGCGGGAACCCCGGCAGCATAACACTATTGGTTCTCTAATTTTAAACTTCAGAAAATAAACACTGAGTTCAAACAGGGAAATCGAAAAAAAAATTTTAACCATTGCTTTATAAGATATAGCTTAAGCGAGAAAAAATTCTTTCGTTTAACATGCAAAAATAATAGGTTGAAAAAGCTTAAACATGGCGCGATAGTGAAGTCCGCATTTAAATATATAATAGATTGGTAATTAAAACTTAATTCGAAGTATTTTTCCAAATATATTTTCTTTTTTTACGTTTTCTTTTTAATCAGCATCTTTGGTTAATTGCTATTGATTTAATGTCATTAATTTAGGGTTGTAAATCTAGGCTCAAAATCTGAAATCCTAAATAAGTCTAGTTTTCGAGAACCGGCAGTTTTCACGATTAATCAAATATTTTACAAAAACTGAAAAATTAATTTAATTTTTTTCCAAGTTTTTCCAAATTACAAATTGAGGTTCAAACTTTAAATCACTGGTTGTTTAGACAGAGCAATTTTTATGAAGTTTTTGTGCGTTTACTTCTATCCTGCTTTCACTAGGTAAACTGAAATAGCTAAAATAATCTAAAAGAAATGATTATGATTACCACCGTGTGCAGATAACTTGAACTATAATAATTCCATTACAGATAATCAAAAAAGAGTTGTTTCGTCACTGTAATTTTCAACTGGACGTTCACTTATGTGCTTTGTTGACGTGCGCACGTTTTCCTTCAGGATAGACTTTAAAGGAAACTAGCGTGTAACGCACCTCCGGCGCTTCAAAAAATTGTGAAAGTTTCTTATAAATACAATATATGAAAAAAAAACGACAAATGAATGCAATTGTAAAAAAAAGAACGATGAAAACAATTTTGAATGGAAGGTTTTTTAAACTAAAATGGTCAAATCTGAAACACAAGTTTCCCCTCAATTCGAGTTCCCCCTCGAAAAAAAGTCCCCCACAATTTCAAATGGACGAATCAATTATCTAGAGTAGCAAGAGACCCCGCGGACAAAAGCCTCAGGGTAGAACCGAAAAGATGTGTTCAAACCGTTGTGGTGTCTAACAACATCAACGGTTTGAATACACGCATTATCTGGAGCATGCGCAGATACGACATGCATATGAACAAAGCAAAGCTCCATGAAACCTGGCAAAATTCATGATACAAAACAGCTAACCGACCGGTTGCGGTACGAGTAGCAGAGAATGTTCCGACCATTACATATTCATAAAAAATTACATTAGAAATTTTTTTCTTTTTTTATCTCAAACTTTTTTTTGTGCGAGGCGAGATAAAATGATCTGACACAAGCCTAGAATTTAGGCAAATTCCACAATCACAAAAAATGGCAAATTTGTCAGCAGTTTTTATCGGAAAAAGATAAAAACAAAACAAAAACCTGAAAAAAAATCATTTTAGAGTTTTTGAAAATTTTTATTCCCAAAACGGCGCTAAAAAACTTCAAGTCAAAAACTTACAAAAGTTATGCTTAAGTTTAACAGCTTCTTTTTCTTTTTCTTTAATAAGCCTGCTCGCCCGCTTTACTCCTCGAAGTTGAACTGAAATTTATTAATTTGGAAGCAGTTTTTCTCGAGACCTGGCTAAGTTTTAAAAAAAATTCAATTTCGTTCGAATCAAGGCCGAAAGGGCTTTAAAATGATATATCACTCCAAGCAAAAATCAAAAGTTTCAGACGGTTTTTTCTCGACATGGGAAACATTTTTCAGTATTTCGAATAGCATTTTTTCTCATTTTTAATATTGTTCAAGTCGCGACTGAAAGGGCTTTAATCTGATATATCACTCGACCCATTCCAATGATTATTTGCAGTACCTGATTTTGCGTGGAAAACGAACAAGAAAACTAAAAACAGCCGAATACGAAATTCCTCTTAAATTTCAGTGGTCCCAACAAAAAATTTCAAAATCTTAGTGGGCGCTACCTGGTTTGCATTCGAATCTGTCCTAAATGTATAATAATTATATCTATTTTTCTAAGTCTCATGTCTATTTTGGACCCATCTTTATTACCTTTCCCTAAATCGACAAAAGGGGGAACATTTGAGGTGAGTAGTATATTTCCAAAAATGGGTGCAGCGACAATTCGTATCAGGCGACGATTTGTAACAAGCTCCCATTCGTAACAAACGACAATTCGTAGCAAGTCATTGGAAAGTAGAAAACGCTTGCTCCGCTCCGCTTACATCCGACACGAGAGGAATACTGCACATGAAGCAGTGTTCCACACTAATGCTTATGTTACGAGTTGTCGCTTATTTCAATTTTCCGCCTGTTACGAATGGTCAACTCACGCTAAAACTTTAAAAATTTAGCCGAAGCTTGCGCTCGATCTCACAACACGATAAAAAAATACAAGGCTTCAATTTGTTTTTTTTAGAAAACAGCTGAAATTATTACTTCATTTTTCTCTCAGTCCTCCCTCCCCCTTCTTCTTAATTACGCACTATTTTGTTGATGGAACTTGCAAGCTTTTATTGCTCGATTTATATTCAAAATCGGGACAGCAGGAAAATTTATAATTACAATTCTTTTGAAATAAAGTGATATTAAGTATTTAAGCTCCATTCATAACTAATTCACATTTGCATACTTTTCATAAGCCTCTAAAATCCGATACAAAATCATTAACAATTATGTTTCTCTCGCCAGAAAAAATCAACCAATGCTTATTTAAATTAACCGGAAAAACGAAACAAAACTTGAAACTTCAAACGCGTTTTTCTGAAATTGGGTTGACTTGAGAAAAATTGTAACGACAAATTTTCCTTAGAATTCAAACAGAATTAATCATTTAATTTGGTTAAAAGAGCAATTTATTTAGCTTAACTTGGGCCTAAAATTTTACCCCAAAAACGAACGTTTTTGGCTTTTTTAGTCAATCAAATGTTGCATCAACACTATGTTCAATTGCTAACAAAACTATATCACAGTGCGCCTCTTATGTAGCCCAACAAATATTAACAGGGGCATAACCTCCAAGAATTGGCGCAAAGTGTTAAGAAATTGTTTCTGATTAAAAAATTTGGTTTTTTATAAAGTAAAACTGACATTTTTTGCTATCAAAATGAAATAATTTATACAAAATGAAGAATATACTCTCGTTTAACTTTTGGGGCTACATAAGGCGCTCACTGTGGTATAGTTTTATCAGCAATGAAACCAATAGTTTTGACTTAACCTTCGATTGACAAAAATGATCGTTATTGGGGTATACTTTTGGCCGCAACTTTTGCAATATAAAGTGAACCAATTTAGTTTTGCTAAAATCTAAGCAAATTGACTTCATCATTTTCTGTCTAAAATCAACCCAATTTGAGAAAAATGAGTTGTAATTTAATTGGTTTTGCCCGGTTAATTTAAATGAGCACTGTAGTGCTGATTTAAATTGTCCGGACAAAACGCACGAAGATTCATATTTAAACGCGTTTTTCTTAAACTGTTTTTTTTTAAGTTAAAATGATGAAAACAGAACTTACTAGATCAATTGCTAAAACTATATCAAAGCGAGCCTCTATTATAGCCATAAAAATAAGAAGAGTATATTCTCGGAAAAATTGAATTAAACGTTTTAACTCTTTCCAAATAAAAAAATTGGTATTTTAAATAGTATTAGGCATTTTTTGGCTATTAAACAAAAATAAAACTATTTATAAAAATTAGAAGATTATAGCCTTCTTGAACCTTGTTGCGTTACGTGAGAGACTCACTTTGATATGGTTTTGTCAGTAATTGACCCGGTAGTTTTAGCGTAATTTTTATTGACTAAAAAAGCAAAAAATCATTCTTTTTTGGATAAAATTTTGGGTGCGAATTTCTTTTAAACAATATGAACCCTATCAATTCTGGTGAATAGTTCTAAGCATGTTTGGTCTTCATTATTCTACGTCTTAAGTCAGCCCAATTTGAGAAAAATGCGTTTTTAATTTCAACTTCAGCATTTTTTTCGGATAGTTAAAACCCGCACTGTAGGGTTATTTCTCAGCAAAACCTAATCGCTAGATGGAATCTAAGCTTCAAGGCACATTACCTTTAATCAAAATAATTCCGCTAAGTTGCCTGGTCACAAATAAAGAACGATTTGGTCAGTAGAAGTCAACGAAATTGATTTCTGTTCAGAAATCAGATAACAATTCAGTATCAGTCGAATGACTCCGATCGGTTAATCAAAGATACAAACAGTACAAATTTTATAAATCACTGCTCACATACAATCTTCATGATTTTATAGAAATCTTACTGTGGCAGTATAAAATTGTAGTTCTTAGCAGCTTTTTTCCCGTAGAACTCTCGAATGCGAAGTAAACTCGGATGCGAAGTAGATTATTTTATGAAAATACTTACAGCTTTTTCGTTTCGTTTCGATAAACCCGACAAAACGTCCAAAGGAGCCAAGTGCGCTACTGTAAGGAATCGGTTACATCCGTGAATCGGATTCAAATATTTTTTAGGACGAGCAGTGAAAAACTTTTGCCCGCATAGCTTTTAATTTTGCACCCAATTCGTCATGAAAAGAAATTCAATGTTTTGAGTTATCAAGAATTTCTGAAAAAAAATCTTTTCGTATGTACAGGTAAGTTTCACTTTCAGATTCAGTATAAACAAGTATCATTTGTTTACACTGCCGTCTGATACCGCACAAACAATTATTCTCTCAAGGCACCTTAGAACAGGCCATTGGCCCTAACAGTGACCACTCAAAGCGGTACTGTGATAGTATCTAACCAAAGTTGTTCAACTTATAAACGTGCTCCGTCTAGCAAACCAATTGACGATTTTAATTATTTTTTACTATTATAATAACTATTACTATTAATATTTTTTTAAATAAAATTCGACATATTGAAACAATTGAACAAAATCATTGACTCAGAAGAAAACGTGTCCGAAAGGTACAATATGCATTCAAAGTAATAAAGAATAATGTAAAATCTGCTGAATTAAAAAAACTCCTGATTTAAGGCTGGTAATAATAAGATGCCGAGATTTAAACATCTAATTTCTAAAAAACAAAGCAGTAGAAATACCAGTGCGAGCAGAACAATCAGCCTAACAGAATCTGATTTCCAAAGAGCCCCGTACTCCAAAATTATTGAAGAAAACGTAGCCAACAAACAGCTGACAACAAAAACTGTCAATGAGCTTTCAAGAACGAAAAAAGATGTGCTTTCTGAATTTCAGAAATTTTTAATGATAGATAACTTTTTGATTACAAAAAAAACCCGACTCGAGAAAACTGGATCAATAGCTAAACTTTCTCATTCCACTGGAAATTCTGAAAACTATAAATCCATTTTTGAAAGAAGAAAAACTTCACGTTTTTTTCGAGCCATTTGCAACTTTTGTGATAGGAGAGCGTTATTTGTCTTCCATTAAGCAATGAAAATACATTGAGCTTTAAACGAAATCAGAAGTCACGTCACGAATAATGAAATTTGAGCGGGCAGATACTATTAGGACTGAAAAAGGCAAAAAAAAATACCAAAAAATAAGTTTGAGGGTAAACTGAGCAAAGAGAACTATATGATGTGGTGCAACATTTGAAATTTTATAATCAAAAGGTAAGTGTTCTGGACCACTCATTTCTGTACAACCCGTTAAAGCGCGGAGAGCGGCGTTTTAAACTACTTGAAGTTTGCTTAAAGACGTATAACTTGCGTCATGGGACCTGGGCATGCGTAATCTAAAATTATCGTCTCTTGAATGACCCCAATTTATCTAGATAAGGCCTACAGGATCGCTATCCTGGGCGAGGCTTTTGCTGACGCTCGCTTACAGTGCTCTCCTAAGTTAAGGGATGGGCCAAAGAAAAAGCCGAAACTTTGGAGTGCTTTTCCAAGAGTGAGGGTGTATTTTCCAGTTTTACTAGGGTGTGCGTTGAAGTCCTTGTTGAACGAGTAGAATAGGCTGGCGGAGCCATTTGACGAGGAAAAAACAAGAGTTTGGACATAAAAAATTAGTGAATTTGGTATTTTGATGAGGTAGAGGAAAGGAAGCCGTTTTAAAGTTTTTCAACTGTACAAAGGGGGGAATCGTCTGCATATGATTGTAATTTGGTTGTAGTATGACTGTAGAATCTTAAGTGATAGACTTCGGAAACACAACTTTTTTTGCACAACTTTACATTTCGAAGAGCGCAATGTGAACTCAGCACGAAAAATGACTCAGAGAGCTTGAGCTTCAAAAGAAGCCAACGCCATGCCACCACAAGGTGGCGTCCCTCATGCTGGAGGGACCGAATGCTTGAAAATTATTTTGGCTTTTTTTCAGCCAATCAGAATTGAATACTCAAAAATCTCAGGGAAATTGCAAAAATCTCAAAGTAAGCAAATAAATGCAGGCCATTAGTGTTAATGTTGATCGTTTAGATAATAATCAGATGAATGAAATAATGCCGTATCAAAGGCCGATTGGAACAAATTTAATATTTCAAAGATACCGATTTAGGAAAAATGGAAGAGCAAAAAACTAAATTTTTTATGTCTGCACCTATTATATTATTTCATCATTTTCTGTTTATTTTAACTTCTATTTTGTGAGAAAGGTATTTAGCCAAAAAGAACGCGTAGTGATAAGGATTGGTTGAAATTTTTCCAGCATTCGGTCCCTCCAGCATGAGAACCCCACGACAATAAAGAAACCAGTGGAAAAACCAAAACAACTAAATTTAAAAACCAATTCATGACCAAAAATATTTTAAGGAGTTCGATTTAAAATTTTCAATAACATGTTTCACACAGTACCGATCACTCAATAATCAATAATTACTTTTAACTAGATCTAGCTTACAATATAAAAGACTTGATATACCGCTTCCAAAATACAATCAAGAGTTATCAAGAAATTCTGAAAAAAAATCTTTTCGTATGTACAGGTAAGTTTCACTTTTAGATTAAGTATAAACAAGTATCATTTGTTTACACTGCCGTCTAAAACCGAACAAACAATTATTCTCTCATGGCACCTTAGAACAGGCCATTGACCCTAACAGTGACCACTCAAAGCGGTACTGTGATAGTATCTAACCAAATTTGTTCAACTTATAAACGTGCTCTGTCTAGCAAACCAATTGACGATTATTATTATTATTATTATTACTATTATAATAACTATTACTATTAATACTTTTTATAAAAATCGAAATTTTGAAACAATTGAACAAAATCATTGACTCAGAAGAGAACGTGTCCGAAAGGTACAATATGCATTCAAAGTAATAAAGAATAATGTAAAATCTGCTGAATTAAAAAAAACTCCTGATTTAAGGCTGGGAATAACAAGATGCCAAGAATTAAAAATCTAATTTGCAAAAAACAAAGCAGTAGAAATACCAGTGCGAGCAGAACAATCAGCCTAACAGAATCTGATTTCCAAAAAATATTTTCAAAAAGCCCCGTACTCCAAAATTATTGAAGAAAATGTAGCCAACAAACAGCTGAAAAACTGTCAATGAGCTTTCAAGAACGAAAAAAGATGTGCTTTCTGAGTTTCAGAAATTTTTATTGATAAATAACTTTTTGATTACAAAAAAAACCCGACTCGAGAAAACTGGATCAATAGCTAAACCTTCTTATTCGACTAGAATTTCTGAAAACTATAAATCCATTTTTGAAACAAGAAAAACTTCACGTTTTTTTTCGAGCCATTTGCAACTTTTGTGATAGGAGAGCGTAATTTGTCGTCCATTAGGCAATGAAAATACAATTGAGCTTTAAACGAAATCAGAAGTCAAGTCACGAATAATGAAATTTGAGCGGACAGATACTATTAGGACTGAAAAATGCAAAAAAAAATACCAAAAAAGAAGTTTGAGGGTAAACTGAGCAAAGAGAACTATATGATGTGGTGCAACATTTGAAATTTTATAATCAAAAGGTAAGTGTTCTGGACCACTCATTTCTGTACAATCCCGTTAAAGCGCGGAGAGCGGCGTTTTAAACTACTTGAAGTTTGCTTAAAGACGTATAACTTGCGTCATGGGACCTGGGCATGCGTAATCTAAATTTATCGTCTTTTGAATGACCCCAATTTATCTAGATAAGGCCTACAGGATGGCTATCCTGGGCGAGGCTTTTGCTGACGCTCGCTTACAGTGCTCTCCTAAGTTAAGGGATGGGCCAAAGAAAAAGCCGAAACTTTGGAGTGCTTTTCCAAGAGTAGGGGTGTATTTTCCAGTTTTACTAGGGTGTGCGTTGAAGTCCTTGTTGAACGAGTAGAATAGGCTGGCGGAGCCATTTGACGAGGAAAAAACAAGAGTTTGGACAAAAAAAATTAGTGAATTTGGTATTTTGATAAGGTAGAGGAAGCCTTTTTAAAGTTTTTCAACTGTACAAAGGGGGGAATCGTCTGCATATGATTGTAATTTGGTTGTAGTATGATTGTAGAATCTTAAGTGATAGACTTCGGAAACAATTTTTTTGCACAACTTTACATTTCGAAGAGCGCAATGTGAACTCAGCACGAAAAATGACTCAGAGAACTTGAGCTTCAAAAGAAGCCAACGCCATGCCACCACAAGGTGGCGTCCCTCATGCTGGAGGGACCGAATGCTTGAAAATATTTTGGCTTTTTTTCAGCCAATCAGAATTGAATACTCAAAAATCTCAGGGGGACTGCAAAAATCTCAAAGTAAGCAAATAAATGCAGGCCATTAGTGTTAATATTGATTGATTAGATAATAAGCAGATGAATGAAAATAATGCCGTATCAAAGGCGGATTGGAACAAATTTAAAATTTCAAAGATACCGATTTAGGAAAAATGGAAGAGCAAAAAACTAAATTTTTTATGTCTGCACCTATTATATTATTTCATCATTTTCTGTTTATATTAACTTCTATTTTGTGAGAAAAGTATTTAGCCAATAAGAACGCGTAGCGATAATGATTGGTTGAAATTTTTTCAGCATTCGGTCCCTGCGGCATGAGAACCCCACCACAATAAAGAAACCAGTGGAAAAACCATAACAACTAAATTAAAAAAACCAATTCATGACCAAAAATTTTTTAAGGAGTTCGATTTAAAATTTTCAATAACATGTTTCACACAGTACCGATCACTCAATAATCAATAATTACTTTTAACTAGATCTAGCTTACAATATAAAAGACTTGATATACCGCTTCCAAAATACAATCAAGAGTTATCAAGAATTTCTGAAAAAAAATCTTTTCGTATGTACAGGTAAGTTTCACTTTTAGATTAAGTATAAACAAGTATCATTTGTTTACACTGCCGTCTAAAACCGAACAAACAATTATTCTCTCATGGCACCTTAGAACAGGCCATTGACCCTAACAGTGACCACTCAAAGCGGTACTGTGATAGTATCTAACCAAATTTGTTCAACTTATAAACGTGCTCTGTCTAGCAAACCAATTGACGATTATTATTATTATTATTACTATTATAATAACTATTACTATTAATACTTTTTATAAAAATCGACAATTTGAAACAATTGAACAAAATCATTGACTCAGAAGAAAACGTGTCCGAAAGGTACAATATGCATTCAAAGTAATAAAGAATAATGTAAAATCTGCTGAATTAAAAAAACTCCTGATTTAAGGCTGGTAATAATAAGATGCCGAGATTTAAACATCTAATTTCTAAAAAACAAAGCAGTAGAAATACCAGTGCGAGCAGAACAATCAGCCTAACAGAATCTGATTTCCAAAGAGCCCCGTACTCCAAAATTATTGAAGAAAACGTAGCCAACAAACAGCTGACAACAAAAACTGTCAATGAGCTTTCAAGAACGAAAAAAAATGTGCTTTCTGAATTTCAGAAATTTTTAATGATAAATAACTTTTTGATTACAAAAAAAACCCGACTCGAGAAAACTGGATCAATAGCTAAACCTTCTTATTCGACTGGAATTTCTGAAAACTATAAATCCATTTTTGAAACAAGAAAAACTTCAAGTTTTTTTCCGAGCCATTTGCAACTTTTGTGATAGGAGAGCGTAATTTGTCTTCCATTAGGCAATGAAAATACATTGAGCTTTAAACGAAATCAGAAGTCAAGTAACGAATAATGAAATTTGAGCGGACAGATACTATTAGGACTGAAAAATGCAAAAAAAATACCAAAAAAGAAGTTTGAGGGTAAACTGAGCAAAGAGAACTATATGATGTGGTGCAACATTTGAAATTTTATAATCAAAAGGTAAGTGTTCTGGACCACTCATTTCTGTACAACCCGTTAAAGCGCGGAGAGCGGCGTTTTAAACTACTTGAAGTTTGCTTAAAGACGTATAACTTGCGTCATGGGACCTGGGCATGCGTAATCTAAAATTATCGTCTCTTGAATGACCCCAATTTATCTAGATAAGGCCTACAGGATCGCTATCCTGGGCGAGGCTTTTGCTGACGCTCGCTTACAGTGCTCTCCTAAGTTAAAGGATGGGCCAAAGAAAAAGCCGAAACTTTGGAGTGCTTTTCCAAGAGTGAGGGTGTATTTTCCAGTTTTACTAGGGTGTGCGTTGAAGTCCTTGTTGAACGAGTAGAATAGGCTGGCGGAGCCATTTGACGAGGAAAAAACAAGAGTTTGGACATAAAAAATTAGTGAATTTGGTATTTTGATCTAGCTTACAATATAAAAGACTTGATATACCGCTTCCAAAATACTTGACATCGATAAAGTTGAAACAAGTGAATTTCAGTGCAAAAAAATCGTAGCTCCTCGTCTTCTATTGCAAACCCAGTATGTACTCCGGGTGTTTGAACCAGTAGGAATTTTGTCTGAACAAATTCCTCTGAATAAAACCCATCTGTGACGCTGGATAGATCACGTGCATGTGCAGATGTTTGACCAGAATGAAAGGCGGGTAATGGAAGCCAAACAGAACGTCTCCAAAACTGAAGCAAATTAGATGGAGATATAAAACTTATAGAATGCCACGCTGATTTTTTAAACCTTACTTAATTTCAAATTTTTTAGCAATTGAATTTTTTGAAAAAAATTTAGAAAATCAAAAATTAGCAAATACATTTTTCTTTTTTATAGAACTCTGCCTCTAATTTAAAAAAAAACGTTTGATTCTAATTTTAGTATAATTTAGGATTAACTAGGAGTGTTGAAATTATATTATATTATTTTGGTCCCGGCTGCGATTTCTCTGAAACAGTTTAGAATAAGGAAAGCATCACTTATATATTTCCGAAAATTTTGTGACAGAAAACGTCTCGTTATATTAAGCTCGAGAATTTTTCCGTGCATCAATTTTTTTATTAATCTATAATTTCATTTTGCACAATCTTTTTTGAGAAATTATAGCCTTTTTCAACCTATTTCGGCTATATAGGAGGCTCGCTTATTTTTTGAGTGACCAACAAAACTAATAATGATAAGTTTTATGTATAATGTGGGCCCAAAATTTGCCAAAACAATTTGATCCCTATTAATCCTGCTAAAAACCTAAGCAAGTTTTGCGTCCATTTTCTGTGTTCCTTTTCTGTCTAAAATCAACCCAATTTGAGAAAAATGCGTTCTACATTTGTAATTTTACTCGTTTTTTTTCAGAATGATTCAAATCAGCTCTGTAAATTTCAAACAACAGCGACAACAGACAAGCCCTCTACAGCATTTGTTGCTCTGGCCAAACCCGTTGATGCTGCATCCCTTTGACTCCATAATGAAGGGGGGAATAGGGCTTCCCGAATCGGGACGAGACTTTTTATGTAGTTAGATCCTAAATTTTTTTTGGATGGTAGGGCTAGTTGAGTGGCAATGTTGTCTGTAATGCGCTGAATGACGGTTGCGACTGCGACGGTTGTGGTGTTACTATCGCTTAGAACCTTGATGTTTTTCAAAACTAGTCGAGCATCAGGTTTGCCCGTGGAAATATCGTGAATATGTTGACCCCTCGTTTCAATAGAGTTTTATCCATCCGTAATTGCTATTGCGCGGCATTTATGGGTTTGGTACTTTGAGCAGTGGTACTTTGAGCAGCACGCCTGAGTGAGGGATTATTTCTCTAACTAATCGAAGTGCAATTATTTTTGAGATGCTAGAGGCATCAAGGGAATTAAGACTAGCTTTTCAGGCCTCAATTAGTAAGCTTAATTGGACTACTCCTGAACTTATAAAAAGGACTTAATTTGGAACAAAATATCGTCATTAAAAGGGGGTTAAATTGTTGTGGGGTTATCATGTTACGGCGTTATAATATAGGGGGTGTAAACCGAGGGGGTTAAATATCGTAGGGTTAAAGAGTGGGGCACCGACAAGTATCAATGTGTCGGTGAAAAGTGTCATTGAATTCAAGAAAACAAAAAAGTGCCAATGAATTCAATTAACTCAAATCAGTGATCGGCGTTTATGGTAACCCTTGTAGAAGAGCCCGTCTCTACTTTTAACGAGCAGCTGAGAGCATTTAAATTGTAGATTTGACACGGAAAATGACGGGTGAACATTGGTCAGCGAAGATGATGGTGGTGATAGCAAAGATGATGAACATTTTAAATAATTTTTTCCTAAAAAAAACAAACTAAATAATTCTCTTCACTTTTTAGTGGCTCTTAAAAAAAACTAGCTTTTGAAGTGAGGCTTTGATGAGATACCACAATTGACCCCTATGAATTTCCTTGATATAGCAAAAATCGGGCGAAAAAAAGCATTTTACTCCATAATTCCGCACAGTCACTTCGGTGACGTGGTCAAAACATTAATTTTTGAACAGAGTTGTTTTCAGAAGTAACTCTGGGCTATCCGAAAAAGTCACACGACTATTCATGCTCTACAAAAGCGGTAATACTTGTTGTCTTGAGTCGCTGGATCTTGAGAGCTCAAAAACGTCTTTGCGTGAGTCAGCATTTCCTCAATCAAAATACGATCTTCCTCTTTCTCTTTATAATTCAGGCTTCTTACATCTGTAATATGTCTTTTTGTAATAACCAGAAAATGATGTTTAGCCGCCGGTTTATGATCAGCAATGATAGCCAAGGTTTCATTCTGCCATAGAATTTTATCTTCTTTGTTTTCCGACAGAACACCGCAAAATACACATGAGTCACTTGCCATGAGAGATCTCGAAAAAAAATAACCCAGTTTGATACACTTAAAATAACCCAAGTCGGTATCCTATTAATTCACCTAAGCGTACTCTCTTCCGGATAAATTTTCCAAAAGGTTCTCACTCACATAGGTTAGATTTACACTATCCACTTGTAGAAGACAACCCGTTCATTCAGTCGATTAGCTTCGAAATCTTTTCAGAGAAAACCGTTTACCGTTGGAGATCATTTTCGATAAATAAATAGAAGTTGTGAGCCAAAAACTCTCATCCTGCGGAAGTTTGGCACTATATCTGATAGGGACTAAAGCAATAGAAAAAAAAATCAGCAACAGGAAATAAGTAGAGAAAATCAACTGGAACAAAGTGTGTGTGGACCCTTAAACGTAGAAGCTATCGTCTTCCCAGACGTTGGATTGGCATAGTAGCATGCACAGTTAATGGTAGGGCGACAATTCGTAACATGCGATAATTCGTAACAGGCGACAATTCGTAACAAGCGACAATTCGTAACAAGGCATTGGCAAGTAGAATACGCTTGCTCCCCTTCGCTTACATCCAGCACGAGAGGAATACTGCGCGTGAATCAGTGTTCCCCGCTTAATCTATTATTACGATTTGTAGCTTGTTACGAATTGTGGCCTGTTACGAATTATCGGTGCATATACGAGACAGTCCCATACAAAACAGTCCAATACAAAATACTCCGAAAAATCCTGTTATGGAGGAAAAAAACAGTCTAATACAAAACAGTCCGGTTTAAAGTCACCCGTGGACGAGCTGCGCGCGCGTCGCGGCGATAACCGGCTCTAAATTTCGTATTAAGTCCTACCCTCTGTTGGCAAGCTCGCAACACGTTGGCTCGACTGCGGCGGTCACCATTATGTTTGTTGAACAAAAGACAATTCTCGGCCTGCCGGCTTGTTAAAACAATTATTAATTGGGACCGTTTTTCGGACTGTTTTGTATCGGACTGTTTTTTCGTTCATTTTCATACTTTTCCGGACTGTTTTGCATTGGATTGTTTTGTACAGACACGGAATTGTCACCTCACGAGACTCAATCATTAAGAGCCATGTGATCGCCCGAGCTTCTTTGAAGTTTCGTTCAATTAATCTTAGAGTTCTTATTATAGTCTTATTACAAAAAATTATATTGAGCTCTCAAAACGTTCCATCATTCGCCATCACAATCAATTGATTGTTTTAGTTGCCGTCATTCTGCATCATCTTCAAAAGAAATTATCCACAACACCGCTCTTTAGATTCAGTGGTGAAGAAACATCAATCTAAAGTTGACCATACTTTGGAAATTCTGTTTCAAAATCTGCCTTTAATTCATTTTTAAAAGGTCTCTAGTTTGATTACTTTTATAATAATCGCAAAGCCATTCTGCTGTTTTGGGCTACCAAATTAGACACTTGAAACTTCGCTAACCGGATTGTTATCCTAGAAGCTGGAAGGATGATTTTGGAACTCCATTGACTACTTGAGAGGGAAAAATATAGTGACTCATCGTCAAACTAAGCCCTGGAATACAAATTATGAAAAAACGTATGTACAAATATAAAAATTTTGAATTTAAAAAAGAAAAGATTATGTAAGCCGCAAAATCATAGTAGAAACGAAGCGAGTTGAAAATTTTTATGCTTGTTCAAAAATATGTTCAAAATGTGAATTACAAGGCATACTTTGGCGAGGGTCACTCAGTCTCTACCTGATGAGCAGTCAGCACAGTTCCCATTTCATGCATCCGGTGGTTAGGACCAAAATACGGAAAGCAAATTTTCTATTTCGGCGCCCAAAACTGCGAATATTTTGCCGATGAAACAATTAAACATGAACCAAACAAGAGATTCTTTAGAAAGAAATTTAAGACAATAATTCACACATCATGCGACTTCTATGATCACGTCGAACTTGCAGTCAACTCCAAGAAATTCGTAGGAGAATTAAGTAGAAGATGGAACAAAGAGGATTGATTTAACCGAAAAAAAAAAAGAAGAAACATAATAATGGGTTAAAAAAAACTTGAAAATGTGACTAAAAACGAGGATCATATCAGCCGAATTTTCATTGCAGCTTTAATTTAACTCTTGATTCGTCCTGTGATTCAAATTTAGTTTTTATTATGCTCTTATTTCGGTTGACACTTCAATCCATTGTTATCTACTTCTCTTATAATCTTCGTGCGTTTGACTATGAATTCAAAACCATGATAGAAGTCAAGCACTCTGCTTCAAACACTTAAAAAAATCATTTGAGCAAGCGTTATTTATCGTACTCTACGAGCATAAAAAATATATCATCTACGAAAAACTAATATCAAACTCTGAATTGTCTAAAAATGACAGAAACATATAAAATATTAGAGAATACGAAAAAGAAACTCATAGTTGATAGTGCCGAATGCAACTAATAACTTTAAGCAATCAGGAAAAACGAACTATTGGATTCAATTTCCATAGGAATGATTGAGACGGTTTTCACCAAAGTTATTTCAGCAGAGGTATTTTTCCGGTAGGCAAATAGTTCGGATAAAAAATTGCAAAATTTTTATGTGATATGCCAATGGATTATTCGTCCGAAAACTTTTCATAAAAAGGGTAAGTTTCTTAGTTCGATAAAAGTACAGAGCGTAATTATTCGTATTTTCCTCCTGGAGAAAAGGCTTTAAAATGGACGCTTTGATTAAATAGCTGAATTTCATAAGACTCTTAGGAAAACTTTGATGGGTTCTTGGTAAATATGACTGGCAAAGATGTCGAACGGAGATGTGATATTTGACATGCGAGGTAATGCTTCTGACAGAGCAACTGAGGCTACTTGCATGAGGTTATCCAAGAGTGGGATGGTTGTGAGAATCACTCGTTCCCACTAATTATTACACACAGAGGCGAAGCTGAGCTTCGCATCAGTTGCGATACCACAAAAATAGCATTGCAAGTTGGCAGACAAGAAAAAAAGGCCAAAGAAAACAGAAAAGTCAAGAAACTCATTCGATGGCGTTTAATGAAAACTCAAAAACAATTATTGAGCCAAACTTAAATTGTTGTCATGAAAATCTTTGAACTTTAAATTCTACTAGCGTGTACCGCACCTCCGGTGCTTCGAAATTTCAACAACTCAAAAACTATTCTTTGAGTGTACTCTGACAGCACCCAATTACATGGTTCGTTATTAAAAATTTTGCAAAGTTTTTTATTCAAGTTTTTTATACAAATTTTGAAGAAGCGTAAAATTTTGTGAAGTTTTATATAAGTTCTTCGAAAAATTTAAAATGAACTAAGAAACGTCACATCTGGGAAACTGAAAGCAATTAAGCAGTCGCATTTGGATGCAAGATTTGCAACTGCTGAGAGTAAGTTCAAATTTTGTAAAATCTTTTTCATTCGATTTTTTAATTCAAATTTTGAAAAACCATAAAAATTTTTGACATTTTTTTTATATCTAAGTTTATAATGAACTAAGAAACGTCACATCTGGGAAACTGAAAGTAATTAAGCAGTCGCATTTGGATGCAAGATTTGCAACTGCTGAGAGTAAGTTCAAATTTTGTAAAAATTTTTTCATTCGATTTTTTAATTCAAATTTTGAAAAACCATAAAAATTTTTGACATTTTTTTATATCTAAGTTTATAATAAATTAAGAAACGTCACATCTGCGAAACTGAAAGCAATTTTCATGAAAATTTTTTTGAAAAAATCACAGAAAACGTCATATCTGGAAAACTGCAAGATTTTGAGCAGTCCTATTCAGAGGCAAGATTCGCAATCCCCTGAGATTACCCTCACATATTCCAATAACAGGACTGAGATCTTCCAAGTTTTGGAATTTTTCAACATTTCAGTTTTTTGAAAATTTCGAAGAAAATAATAAAAAACGTGATATCTCGAAAACTACAAGGATTTGAGCAGTCATAATTGGCGGCGAAATTTGCAACTCCTGAGAGTACCCTGACAGAGCCTCACTACAGAGATGGTAATTTCAAGTTTTGTGAAATTTGTTATATCTAAGTTTTCTGAAAAAAAAATTGAAAAAATCTCAAAAAACGTCATATCTCGAAAACTACAAGGATTTGAGCAGCCATAATCAAAGGCTTTCGCAACCCCTGAGAGTACCCTCACAATATCCAACAACAGGATTGAGATCTTCAACGTTTTGGAAATTTTTTTGAAAAAATCATTAAAAACGTCATATCTCGAAAACTACAACGATTTGAGAAGTGAGAATTGGAGGCAAGATTTGCAACTGCTGAGAGTAAGTTCAAATTTTGTAAAATCTTTTTCATTCGATTTTTTAATTCAAATTTTGAAAAACCATAAAAATTTTTGACATTTTTTTTATATCTAAGTTTATAATGAACTAAGAAACGTCACATCTGGGAAACTGAAAGTAATTAAGCAGTCGCATTTGGATGCAAGATTTGCAACTGCTGAGAGTAAGTTCAAATTTTGTAAAAATTTTTTCATTCGATTTTTCAATTCAAATTTTGAAAAACCATAAAAATTTTTGACATTTTTTTATATCTAAGTTTATAATAAATTAAGAAACGTCACATCTGCGAAACTGAAAGCAATTTTCATGAAAATTTTTTTGAAAAAATCACAGAAAACGTCATATCTGGAAAACTGCAAGATTTTGAGCAGTCCTATTCAGAGGCAAGATTCGCAATCCCCTGAGATTACCCTCACATATTCCAATAACAGGACTGAGATCTTCCAAGTTTTGGAATTTTTCAACATTTCAGTTTTTTGAAAATTTCGAAGAAAATAATAAAAAACGTGATATCTCGAAAACTACAAGGATTTGAGCAGTCATAATTGGCGGCGAAATTTGCAACTCCTGAGAGTACCCTGACAGAGCCTCACTACAGAGATGGTAATTTCAAGTTTTGTGAAATTTGTTATATCTAAGTTTTCTGAAAAAAAAATTGAAAAAATCTCAAAAAACGTCATATCTCGAAAACTACAAGGATTTGAGCAGCCATAATCAAAGGCTTTCGCAACCCCTGAGAGTACCCTCACAATATCCAACAACAGGATTGAGATCTTCAACGTTTTGAAATTTTTTTGAAAAAATCATTGAAAACGTCATATCTCGAAAACTACAACGATTTGAGAAGTGAGAATTGGAGGCAAGATTCGCAAACCCTGAGAGTACTCTGAAATCACCCAAGTACAGGGTGAGAATTTCAAAAATCTTAAAAATTAAATTTTCTAGAAATTTTTTTTAAAAACCTCGAAAATTGTCTATCTCGTAAACTAAAAGAATTTGGTTATTCATATATGAAGGCCAGAATCGCAAAACCTGGGAAAACTCTGACAATGATTGGGTTGCTAATTTCAAACTTGGAATAAACACTGAAATTAAACTTGAAAATCGAAAAAAAACCTTAATCATTGCAATATACGATATAGCTTAAACGTGAACAAATTCATTTGTTAAACATGCAAAAATAATACGTTGAAAAAGCTTAAACAAGGCGAACTTTCAAAAAGAACACTAATATTTGCGACTTAGGTTGGAAAAAAAAGAGAGTTCATACTATCATACAAGCTTTGCTGGTGAAAAAAAACAAGTGGTAGAAACATAACCAACTTAAAAAGTGCGGGCGGGGAACCTAAAAATTCTGCTTTCCTTGTAACGACCCAAAATAAAGTCACTAAGCCAATAAAAAACAGGTGAAAATAGATTGCGCCGAATAAAGTTTTCAAGCAAAAAAAAGGAAATAAGAAGTCAATGTAAGTAAAATTGCAAATTGCAGGAGTAAATCAAACAGTTAAAATAACATTAAAGAAAAATGCACGCAGCAAAAAGAACGCAACCAGATGTGGCAACTAAGCCGTCAAAACATAAGACAAACTTATGGCCGACATTTTTATTTGAAACAGAAAATTTCCCGTTTGAAAAAAAAAACAGGTCATGGTCAGAATCTAACCCAGGCCCTTGGCCTTCTCAGACCAAGTATTTGTTACCTCTAGGCTTAAGGGTCAAGAAAGTTAAGAAACTTGAAATAATCATGAAAGAATAAACCACTGGAGATGATTCCATATTAGTCCTGTGAACAAAGTTATTTAGGGGGAAAAAAGCAGTACTCGATTGCAATACCCTTGCTTGTCGCAAGAATAATAATCTATTTAAGTAAGATTTTATTGTTTCTAAAGAGAAGGCGCGAAAAATATTATCATCGAAAAAAACTATCTAAATTATATATTGAGCAGATCGGATACATAACCGTTCGTCTGTTCAACAACTCGTTCAAAAAATCAATTTCGCAGTTTTTATTGGTTGTCCGGCCAAATTGAATATTGCCAGTTTAACTATTCATCTATTTCATCCAAAAATATTATGCAGTTTGCTCCAAAACTGAGAGAGAGCGCTCGGCGAAAAATCTTATGATTTCCTAATACAAAAAGTTCTAGCTCGGGCAATCGTGCAGATATATACATGCAGTGCAGAATGCTTTGTCTGATTACGATTTTTTAAGCTCTAAAAGAGAGCGAAGATAACCAATTTGGTTGATCTAAAAACCTTCGTTTGCAAAAAAAACCCTAGATCTGCAGGGGTAACTAATCATGTAACAGAGCAGAGATAATTTTATCTAAGGGTAACTAATCATGTAACAGAGCAGAGATAATTTTATTTTCTGTCTTGTTTACTTCATAATAACTATTTTTGGTAGAAATTGTATTGATTGACCAGGCCAAACATAAAAACTCACCTTAAAAATGAAAAATCAATGATTTCGAATTTAATTTCCAAAGATCGTCTTCATTGGGGCATGATTTTGTGAAGTTAATAGAAACTTGTTAGCAAAACTTTGCATTTTCAAACAATTGAACGCTGTTTGCATTAATTGCTTCAAACTGCGCATAAAGAGCTCAATCATGCCCAAATTTAGATCTACTATACGTTATAGACGTTTGACGCAAAAACAACATTTGACAGAAAGACTTCTATTATTCTCTCTCGAACTAAATCACCAAACATGAATATTTACAATTGAACAGCAATAAATATCATTAAATATCATTAATAAACCAGTTTGTAAAAGGTGTCTTTATACGAAAATAAAACGATATGAGGTTGTGTTTTTGATAATTTCAGATCGCGCAACTTATTGCATAATCTTCGAATGAAATCCTGTTTTCTTGGAAACTGTTCACAAACTGAATCCAAACTAGATTCATACACTTTCTGTTCTGCGCTGCTTAAATCTATGTACGCTGAAATTGCGGCAACAATATTTCTTGGAAGATCCGTGACAATGACTTCAGCGTCCGATTTCGAAAATAAATTCTGCCTTGCTTTTGATAGAGCGATTCCCTCATACCGTTTTCGGACACTCATCTTTTCAAATTTATCCTCCATAATTGAGCTCACATTGATTATACTTTGCGAACTTGATTCGTATTTGACATCAGATGAGCTAACTTCTTCGTTTTTGGAGTTAACGAGATCTTTTGCTTCTTCGGCGGCAATTTTTTCTAATTCTGTGCTCAAATTTTGGGGTTCGAGGATTATAGAATTTTTAACGTGAAATTTTTCCAATGATAGCAGTTCAGCTGCATTTTTCACTGAATGCTCAGAAACAGAAATAACTAAAGTAATTTTTGCCCCACTGCAGAATTCTAGAAGATCGTCTTTCGAAGAAAACCTTTGATATACTATTTCGATTTGATAATTTTGAGTAAATCCTGCCGCTTTAATGAACTCAGCGGCTATTAAAAACTGCTTTCTCGTCAAAGAGTTCCCAACGAACGCTAGAGAAAGCATCCTTTTGCCACTTTTATTTGATATCTTAGACTCATCGTCATCTCCGTAACTTAACATTGCAGCAAATTTGGCGAAATCAAATGTGACGCCGACAAAATGATGATCTATATTGATACCCGGTCTTGACAATTTATTCACTAAGTCGTTATACGATCCTCCCAGAGCCAAAATTCTAGGCCTGTTACTGTTAACTGCAACTTGAAAAATTAGGCCAGAGTAAAGCCAATTTTGTGCAGTTAGACGAAGATTCAACTTGATCGAAACATTCCGATATGAATTGGATCCTAGCATTAACTGAATAATTGAAACTGTAGTCTCGACTTCTTTCAACGCCCGTTTGCACATTTTCCCCGTTTCGCTTTTTTCTCTCAACACATTACGTAACATTTCATCGGCTTTGTCTAAAGTAAACGGGGTCAGCAAATTGTTCAACTTAGCACTATCAATATTGTACAAAGAGCAGAACTGTGAAATTGCAGAATTAGAACTCTTCATTTGTCGCTTTGAAGACTGAAGTGCTTTCAGAGCCCTTTTCACATCTTCTTGGTAGCCTAGTAATTTAAGGACTCCTTTCACAATATCAAAATGGTTAAATTCAATGATAATGTCAGAAAATTGAGACTGTGAATCGAAAGCGTTCAGAACATGAAAAACCGTATTAACAACTTCCGCTTCTGCGAGACGTGCGAAACTTGGTTCAACTATAAAATCGAACGTTGCTTCACTCGACTCCCTAGGATGGGTATAATCGCTTGAATGACATCTGAAAACCTTTCCTATAGAGTAGCGTTTCTGTTGAACAATACCTACAGGGTCTTTGCAAATTGATCGAGCGTAAGGTACCCTCAAATCATGAGGTAACATTAAAGGCATTCCGTTTTCGTCAAGAAAGCAAAAAACCGAATCAATTTGATTGTAAATTTCAGACTTCGGGATCACACTTGGCAAAATAGACTTAGTTGCAGATAAAATTTCGAACACTTCTGCAAAGATTTTCTCTGTTTTGATATATGTCTGTACATGAAATTTATTCAATTCAAGGTCATATGCAAAGTCACGGGCTGGCAAGTTGGTGACATTGGCAAATATTAAATTAACTACAGCTCGATAGGTGGTCCACTTTGGCATAGAAAGTCCATTTCTAAGCATTTCTAGAAGTTTCGAATCTTGAACTTCATCTTTCGGTAATCTTTCCCAAGATAAAACTTCCTTAACTGAAGGTCGTAATTCAGGATTATGATTAAGTAGCCATTTGATTAATGATTTTTCAGTCTCTTTCGAGTAATCAGAAGGCAGCTCGCACACTTCCTTCCTCAAAGCAGTCATAATTTTGGTTCTCTCCATTGCCGTTGTTGCGACGGGATATGTCATTTCGAAAAGTATAATTCCCAAACTGTACAAATCAACCCTCTCATTATAAATAGATCCCTTTTCTATTTCAGGTGCGACGTAAAAAGTAGTTCCAACTTTGCTAGTCAAGTCTTTATTGCTACTTGACGTAGTTCCATGCGACAAAGACAGTTCTTGAGTCGATGAAGTTGCCGCTTCTTTGGGCCCCACTGCCAAACCGAAGTCTCCAATCTTGACATGGTCATCAGCGCTGATAAATACGTTTGAAGGCTTCAAATCTCTGTGAATTAACCCATGATTGTGAATATGCATCAATCCGTTAAGAATTTCCCTGAAGTAACGCCAGTAAAGCGCTGGATCCTTATACAGTCCTTCGCGAACACAGTCGAAAAGAGTGTTGCGCTCGCAATATTCCATTTGTATGTAAAGAATCTTCTCTAAACGCACTATCTCGGGCGCATTTGATGACTCAACTGACTCATGCTGAGCAGCCGAATTCGAGGAGTTTGAAACTTTAGGAGCACTTCCAAAAATGATACCATCGTCAGTCGTACTTTCTGATTCCGAATCGGAGGATTCGATATCCGAAGCGTCAGACTTATCGTCGCCAAACAGAGCAAACTGACCCGTTGACATTTCTTCTGTACATCTAGTACTGGAACGGTTATTTGAAGAACCCCAAGACACGGATCCGGAAATTGGCGGCGGCTCGTCATCGAACTTCAAAGCGAAACTGAAACTGACTTTACTAGCCAGAGTATCTGTATTCTTTTCCATCAGCCGGTCATTTTCCCTTTGCAATTTTGCCATATCAAAAGAAACCCCATCATTTGACGATTTTGAACTTTCGACTAGCGTTTCAATAGTTTCGACCCATGAATTGAAGTATCTAACTACGTGTTCACTTCGCATTTTAGACAAGACTCTTACTTCGCGAAACAGTCTTTTCAAAGCGTTTGGGTTACTATACTCCAATTTGACACATTTAAGGGCGTAAATACTGTCATCTAGGTTTTTGCGAACTTTTAAAACCGAACCAAAACCACCTTCACCTAAGAAATCTAAAACTTCGAATTGTTCCTGAAAAACTGAATGAGTTCGAAATTGGTCCTGGGAGTTTGAGCTGTTTTGCCTTGTCGTGGGGATTGGAATGTCGAGTTCTTTATACTCTGGAACAACGTTGAAGCTAACAGAATTTGTGTTCACGCTTTCTTCGGCTAACCAATCAGAATCAGTCATAAACTTATGACTCAAAAGTTCGTTCACAGTCAGTCGAGTTGTTTCATTGAGATCACAACCAAGCTCGAAAAACTCTTTGGCTCTAGGATGCAGAACTTCGTAAGAATCACCAAGCAGCAACTTTCCTAAATTGCAGCATGTCAGAGAATCTTGCTTTGAGCTCGGCTCATCACATATTGAGTTGAAATCAGTTTTGGAAGCTTTTGAAAAAGACTCAAGATACCTGAGTCTTGTGACTACATCGAAGTTTCGGACAACGATTCGTTTATCAGGGTAAAATAAAATATCCGATAACGAAACATCACCAAGGTACATTCGTTTACTGTGAAGATATACCGTTGAAACCAAAAGCTGTTTTAGTATTGTTCGTACCGTGATAACATCGAAACTCTTGACGTATTTCAATAATTGTTCGAGAGTCAAATCGGTACAGCTAGACGGATTAAGTAGCTGGACTGATTTGGAATTTTCGAACTGATTTATTTTGACTGACGTTGGAACTGACAAATTATGATGGTAAAATGATGTCATTCGATTTTCCAATGATGTAACAGTACGTTTCAATTCGTATTCAATTTGGCTCCAAAGAGTTTCTGATGCGCTCTTAAAGTTCCTTTCATCTGCTCTTCCCAAATCTTTCCCAAGCTCCGGACGCACAATTTCGAAACTCTGAACAGTAAACTTTGTTCCATTACCTGTGTCGAAACTTGAAAAAGAACCATGTGAATCACAGAGAGGAGGTACGATGACTATGTATTCTACGTTCTCGTCTTTCGGGTCTTTGAAAGATACCGTCGGCAAATTACAGGTTGCTCGATTTTCGTAAACCGAGTCGCCGTGATTGTTCTCGTCCGCCAACGATATAGAATTGTGTCTTCTTCCTTCGACTGAAACATGAGATTTTCTTGATCTTACAATCTTTTCGATGTTTTCATTTTCTGCGGCGTATTTAGCCTGTTCTTCTATCTGTTTTAGATTCCTAAGATGAACTTCAGCTACCTTTTGCTTTTTTAGGGCATTTTCCCTAATTTTTGCCAATGACGGCAATGGTGGTTTGTTATGCACATGGAGAAAATCTTTAGCAGCTTGAATTAGTTCAAGTATTACTTCTGAATTCTCATTTTGATCCAAAACATCATTCAACTCCTTTTCTAGATCCTTCAAAGTTTGATCTTGGAGTCCGGTAGGATTTTCCAGACCAAACTTCAGCCTCGATTCCGGGTAGTTCTTGTCACAGCTCACATGGATATCAACTGAGCAATAAACTGCGCCTGTTGTTGTATCTTGAGAGGGCTTAATGGACACTCGTAACTCCGGCGGTGTGTATACCTTCCATTTGTTGTTCTGAGGCCGGAGATCTTCGACCAAGTCCGGATAGATTGAAAGAATGGCATCCAGTTCGGCCTCTTGCCTGCTCAAAATGTGATTAGGAGGCTCCAGTTTAATATCCAAAGTAGTTTCATAAAAACTGAAAAAAATCTTCCATCCATTTGAGGTCTTAAAAATTATTTGAGTACTACGCAAACATAGTCTTAAAAAATACACAAAAGTTTTTTTTATCAAATATAGTGTCTGAAATATAGAAGGATCTGAACCAAAACCTAGAACGTAGGCATATTCGACAGCCATAGTAAAAAAAGCAAATTGGACAAATGTTTTTGAAGAAAAAAGATAGCGAAAAGAAAAAAAACGTTTGAATTTTTTTTGAAGAAAATTTGTGCTTTTTTTTCAAGTTTTTCGATTCCAAAATGGCACTTAAAATTCTAAAAACTAACTTAACTTGAGTAAAACTACGGTTTTACGGTTTAAATTAAGCTTAATTAAGCCATTGTATGCCTTCTCGCTCGCTTTATTCGCTGTAATTAAACTAAAATAAAAACCAAAAACAAGCGAAACACGACAATGACCAGAAGCATATAACAATAATACATACGAATTTTCCTTCGACAAAACAAGAGACTGAAGAGTATTTTGGAATTGCAAATAAACATTTTTACTGAATATTTTAATTAAATATTTTAATTAACTGCAAAATTTATAAATTGCGCCTCACATATTTGTTATAACAACAGTTTTAACCATTTATTTTTGCAAACTATTGGAAAGATCGGAAAGATAATTAGTCTGAGGAAGTATAAGAGGATTCGGATGACAACGAAATTGCTCTCACTTGTGTGACTTTAGAACTTTCTTCTTTAGCACTGTAAAATCGTTTGAAGTTTTCATGATGCGGGTTGATGAAAATCTTACTATTTGTCGCTTCATCAGGGTCAAAAGGTTCTTTTTTGATTCGCTTTTTGAGTTTTGAGCTCGAGTCTCGCCGCTTCGACTTTGATTCTTTTTTAGACTTCTTTTTTGACTTCCTGTGTTTCACTTTGTGATCTCGTTTTGATTTTTCCTTCTTGTGTTTTCTGTGATGTGAACTTGAACTTGATTTTGTATATTTTGGCGAGCGACTGTGTGACGAAAAATCGGAATCCGATCTTTGATGACTTGACACTCTACTCTTTTTGATCGGTTTTTCTGCGGCTAACGGGAGTTTGAAATCGCTACTTGACAAGGACCTACTGCGAGATCTTCCTCGACGTTGGACATGACTTCTTTTCGTCCTTTGAGGAGAACGTTCTGGTGACTTTTGTCTCCTTTGTTCCCTTTCTTGCCGCCTGGCATCGACCGGAACAATAGTTACACCTCCAATTTTACTAATAGTATCCGCAAAAGGCAAAGACGATTCATTGAACCCGAATCTTTGGAAATTAAGAGCTGCAAAGGAAGCAGCTGCAGCACTGTACATATCAGAAGGTGGTGGAACTATCGTTGGGAACATATTGGGAGGTGGAATCGGGATGCCCATTGGTGGGGGCGATTCACGCTCTTGTTTAACCCACACACTTGATTCCGATGATTTAAACCCAGCCTCTTTTATGAAATCTGAAAGTGAACTGCTGGTTTTCGCAAAACTGGAGTTGCTTCCAGACTTTGTAGCTGGATTTTGGCTAGGTTTGCGCTTTTCCGGTTCGTAAACAATTGTTCCCTGGTCGTCCGGGTTTCTGCGCATTACAGTTGAAATTGATAAAGTTGAAGAATCTCGAATGTTCTGACACTTCGAAGACTTTGACTCTCGACCAGCACTGTTCTTCAATGCTGCTTTTCGTGCTTTCTCTTCTAAGCGTGCCTTTTCAGCTAATTTAGCTTTTTCCTCCATTTTGGCAGCCAATAGAGCTTTTCGTTTCTCCGCCTCTTCGGCTTGAAGTTTCAACTTCTGCTTCATTTCAAGGCACTCGGCTTTCATTGATTCAACTAATCCCAATAGTTCACTATCTGACAAATCTTGCTCGTCGTCTTGTTTGTCATTTGAAAATTCCTTCCATTCAACGTCCAGAAAATTACAAGTTTCTTCAGGGAATTCCAAGTAATCATCCGGAAGACCTTTCAAGATTTCTAAGAACTTTTTCAGCCTCCTGTCAAAAACACTCTCTCTTGCCACCTGTATTGCAGTGTCAATATCTCTTATCAAAATTTCATCGTCAAAATTTCCCGCCAATGGCACCATACTAATATCTTCTGAGAAAATATGATAGGGTGTTATAGTAACTGACTTTCCAATTCCACTGATGTCAAACGCATCAAAATTTTCAAAACATTTGCAGTTATGTAAAGTATTGCCTGAAAACTTTTCGTTTTTCTGTTTTTTGACTTCGGTATCCATTGACCCTGTGAATTCATCGTGCATATCTAAGTTATATACTTCTATCAGACTTCGTTTCAGTTTCAAGTCTTCATTTTGACGTCTTTCTTTCTCGCGCTGTTCGCGAATTTTCCTCTCGCGTTCAATTCGCTCGCGCTCTTTTCTTTCCTCTTCCAATCGCCTACGAAGCTCATCTTCTTCCTTTCGTTTTAACTCTAATAGTTTTTGCTGTTCAGCAAGCAGACGTTTTCTCTCCCTTTCACGTTCATTTGCGATCTCAGTTTCTAGCCTGCGTTCAATTTCTCGCCGTTTTTCCAACTCCATCGCTTCTTTGAGAGCCTTTTGTTCCTCTTTCAGAAGTCTCTTGCGCTCAAGTTCACGTTCAACTATGATTCTACGCTGTTCCGATGTTTTAATGGTGGTGTATGGGTCCAGAGATGCTGAGGTTCTTAAGGGTGAAAAAGGTTTCATGGGCTGGTTTGTCAGTCCCTAAAACAATGAAAACTTTAGTGCCATCGGTATTAGAAACAATCTAAATTAGTTCGAACTGCAAATAAGTATATAAACATCTAGGCGCAGCTCAAAGCTTCCGGCCGAAGCTTTTGTCGCCAACTTAATTCGCGGGAGGTTGTAAATAATCGGGAGGACAGGAGTGGGGGAAGGGGGTGCTCAGCAAAGACTTTTTTTTGCAGCGATGTTCAAAAAACTAAAAGGAGTCCCGCAATTTTGAATCGATACTGATTAATTGCACTCCAAATTAATGAACGCAAAATCAAGCCAAAAAATTTCTTGAACACAAGAACTTGCATGAAGTAATTCAATACCGACTACAATGTGCTCATTTGCAGATCCTAAAAACGGAGCATATGTATTTTATGGTATAAAAATTTCGGCGATGATGCTTCAGAATCTCCTCCCAAAAGTTCGGAGGTGTCGAAACTCTAGGTGGTGAGGTGCCCCTAGGATTTGCCGGGAATCACGAAAATTAAGAAGTAGCGCATAGTAAGTAGGTGACATCACATTTGTCAGCAGTAGTGTGTTTGTTTATACAGTGCTAAAACAAATTAAGTGGCAGGAAAATCTACCCTATTCCAAACTACCCTATACCATTATACCCTACATACCAAACTACCATATTCTAATCTGCTCTGTATACCAATCTACCCGTGTGGATTTGCCGCATTACTAATGTAATCTTTCAAAGTGCTAATAGGAATCGGAATGACAAAAGCACGTGTTAATTCATTTCAGCCAAAAATTGAGACTCAAATTGAGTTTGTCACTTAGGAAATTGCTCAAAAAGACTCAATCGCAATTTTAGCCTCAAATTCTGATACTTGTCTCAATTGACAGCTTTTAATACCCAATTTTCAATATCACGTACAAAACTCAACAGAAATTACCTCATTATGTCAATTTTCCTTGGAATAACATTTACCAAAATGAGTCAAATTTCTTGGGGTCAAATTTAACAAGAAACAGTAAACAAAGAATGGAAACTTTCACAGGAAGTGTTCGAGGTGGGGTTCCCAAAAATGCAAAACGACAGCAAAGACGGGGATAACGATCTTATTTCCTGTAGAAATGAACACACGAAGTATTTTCTGGTCTTTCAGATGCAAAGCTTCTCGCGCAGAAAATGAAACAGGACACAAAAAATCAGCAGTCTTAGTCAATAGCAGCATTATAGCAAACTGCCTACAATCTGTGTCCGAAGAAAAAACCGTTCAATTAGCTCTTCCTTGCCGGTTGGCGATTACTCTGGCTCTGAACCGACAAAACGTAAATAAGAGACCCACAGTGCTTCCAATTGTCGACAGACTTTAGAAGATTTTTGCGTCTTCAATAACGGCATTGAAGATCCAGAAATAAAATGATTTTTGAAGATCGCGACAAAACCCACAATCTGGCATTACATCAAGATGTTTGGCTGTGTGACGGAACATTGGAAGTTTGCCCTATTCAGTTTTATCAACTTTACACAAACCACATTCAACTCGCTGGATACGGAACATTCAGAAAACTCCCTATTTAGTTTTATCAACTTTACACATTCCACATTCACCCAGCCCCCACTGCAATTATGGATTTTTCCAAACAAAAGAGCACACATTCAAAAAACTACTGGGGCTTATCAGCCATCACGAAAAACACCGAGATTCACCGATTCGACTCAATTTTGCGCGTGCAGCACTTGAAGCTTTCGCTAGCCATCATAACGGAGCGTTGCTCAAATGCAGTTAATTTAAATTATGTCAAGCGTTCAGCCGGACAATAAACAAAGTGGGACCAAACAGACTGTATGAAACTATTTATTAACTCAATTTCTCAGTGCGCCTAATTCCAGTTAAAAGTTTTAAACCAAATGAAACGGTCAATGCCGCTTTCGACAGTTATTGAAATCGAAAAAGTATCTGACAACTTTGATCTCGACGATAACATTACCGCAAAACTTGATGAGGTAGCTCATAGATCCCACGCACCTCTATCAAATGCGAAACCATCAGAAGGAATTATCGCGACCTCTTTTTCCAGTAAACCATTGGAATCATTCCGAAGAAGCAACTGCTGGAAAATCAGAACAACGAATGCCGTAGAAGGCTGACAACTTGGCGTTGCTACTCTCTTCAAAGAAAACCACCCATCCATTCACACCTTTCTGGAGCGAATCAAATTGGATGCTGCAAATCAAAAAGTCAAAATAATGAGAGCAGTGGGTGGGGGCGGGGAAACAGCAACCCCAGCTGCAAGAAATACAGGGAATTAAATGGGAAAGTGAAAAACTTTTGTAAAAATTGAGGTAAAATATCAACTGATTTGTATTCTCTCGCGCAATTAATGCATAGCTAAATCTTTTATTTTATCAAATTCTATTAATTTATCAAAAGTTCAATTGAATATGTTAAGAAACTTTTGAGGTTCCCGTGGCAGTTGAGGGATGATATTTTGGGAGGTGATAGAGGCCAATATCAAAAGAAACTTTCCTTCTTCCTCACCCAGCCCACCAGTACTGCCTTGGCTTGGTTGTGGGGGTCTACCTCTCCTTTTGCGATAAATTAGTCAAACCTTAAGTAAAATTCGAATTTAATTCAAAATTTGACATCTCGTTGAGTTGAAATTTCGAAATTTCAATTTTAAAACATGCATTATCCACTAAGCTAAATCGACTTAGTGTGATATGTTTTTTTGCTTGTTTAAGAAATAGCCGTTCAATCACAAAATCGGATAAAAAATTCTGTTCGTTCATGCTTTGAACTCATTTCCATTTTAAACAAGCAAATTTTACAATGCTTTGATGTTTTATTCACGTGCGGCAATTATTCTTTGGTCAAAAATAACGTTTCTTTGATTTGATCGGAAATATACTGTTTCGGATTCTTCAAGAGGATGGGGTAAGTTTCATTGCTTTAACTATAGGGTAGAATGGTATAGTGTAGAATGGTATAGTGTAGATTGGTATAGGGTAGTTTGAAAGGATAGAATAGTACAGGGTAGATTGGCACATGGTAGATTGGAATAGGGTAGAATATCATGGAACCATAAATTAGCATAACAAAAGTAACATTTGTTAGATTTAATATAATGCAAATTTTTTTGCTAAAACTACCGGGTCAATCACTGAACAAGTTGTATCAAAGTGAGCCTGTTATTTAGCCCAAAAAAGTTAAGCCGGGTTATGAACTACAAAAATGTGAAAAAAAAACATTTAGTCTGATAGCGAAAAACAGACGTTTGAGCTTCGCATCACTTGCAATACAACACATTAATAAAAAAAGCTAGCACATGACTCGCACCTACGGTGCTTCAAATAGATCGTTGAACGTAAAAAATAGCTTCTTAAAACATGAAAAATTATTGAAAAAATCATCAGAAAGGCATATCTCGGAGATAAAAAAGATTTGAGCAGTTAAGGTTAGAGGCCCTGACAGTACCCCCTGATTTGTACCCTGATAATAAAAGATGAAATCCCTGACAAAACCGCTTGATTTGTACCCTGACAGTATCCCCTGAATGTACCCTATTAGGGTTGAGAATTTCAAGATAGGTTAGTTTTTTTAATTCAAGTTTTTTGAAACAAAAATGAAAAATCAAGTAAAACGCCATATCTCGGAAACCAGAAAATATTGAGCAGTCACATTTTCAGAGAAGAACTGCAATCCCTGTGAGTGTACCCCGACAGCAAACCAACATAGGGTTGCGAATTTCAGTTCCGTTAATTTTGTTTTATATTTGAGTTTTTTTTAAACAAAGGAAATCAAAACAAATTCCATATCACGAAAACCAAAATAATTTGAGCAGTCATACTTGGACGCCAGATTTGCAAATCCTGCGTATAACCCGACAGTGCCCCTTTTAAGGGTTGACAATTTAAAGTTCGGTAAGTTCATTTTATATCTAAGTTCTTTGTTGAAAAAGTGAAAAAAAATTATAAAAACGCCATATCTAGAAAACCAAGAGGTTTTGAGTAGTCATTTTTGGACGCTAACTTTGCATCTCCTGAGTTTACCCTGATAGCACGCCACTGAAGTGAGAAATTCAAGTTCGGTTACTTTATTTTTTGTACACGTTTTTTTGAAAAAAAAATGAAAAAATCATTTAAAAACGTCATATCTCGAAAACCAAAAGAATTTGAGCAGTCAGTTTTGGACGCCAGATTTGCAACCCTTGAGTTTATCCTGACAGCACGCCACTTAAGGGTTGAGAAATTCAAGTTCGTTTACTTCAATTTGTAGCAAACTTTTTTTTTAAATTGAAAAAGTCATTAAAAAGCGCCATATCTTGAAAACCAAAAGAAATTGAGCCGTCATACTTGGACGCCAGACATGGAACCCCTGAGTGTACCCCGACAGCACCCACTAGGAGGTTGAGAAAATAATATTTAGTTCAATAAAGGGTGATACGAAAGTTGGATAGTTTTACGTTGCGAATATTGAAAAACTAGAGTTAAAGCATTCGCCCTACAACAAAGTTTAAAAGGTCGATTTGAGTAGACATTTCAATCCTTTTAATGTTTTGGCCATTTAACAAACCAACATAGCGACTTCCTAAAAAAGAACTTTCTTAAGCATTACAATATACGATATAGCTTAAACGTGCAAAAAAAATCTTCCTTTAAACATGCAAAAAAATACGTTCAAAAAGCTTAACTATGTCAACATAGGTTCTTCCTAAATATGTCGACATAGGGACTTCTTAAACATGTCTCATGTGAACCGACAATTAAATAATGAATAGATGAAAAAAATGGAAAATGCTGGAAAAAACAAGGTGAACCAAAATTTCAATATAACTCGATGAAGGACACCTAGTGCCAAGCTAAAGCTGGATATACGTGTTTGATATTTTTTGAACTTCGTATACTGATACCGTACTAAGTGCGTAATTTCGAAAAATGGACTTTGACCAAAACCTTAGTTGTTTCTCTACTAATTTAAATGCGAAGTGTCAAAAATTGAGATTTGATAGTTTTCCCACAGACATTTCTTTTACAAAAAAGGTAGCCGCTTCTGCAGGAAACATTCGGGCAAACGCTTCAATAGATTGAACTTTCACTTTTCACCCTGTAGTACCAATAGTTAACAGTGACTTAGTACCCACCCAGCGAGTACCCACCCATAAATTATTCAACTGATTTTGTTAAACTAGCTATTAACAGGAAAAAAGTCTACATTCCGCTTTGATAACGCTTGCTAATCGCCAGCGTAAATATACAAAAAATCAGTTTTTTTGCAAAGGTGTTGCAAATCGTTTAGGGATACTTAACTTAATCAGAGATTGAACCGGTAATTTTAATGTAATTTTACTTGAATTAAATTAAAAATTTTACCGGCAAGAGTAGAATCATTCATGAAATAACGTTCACGGTTATGTCTGAGGTAAATACTTAGGCTTAGAACGCCCTCTGAAAATTACAAATTGGTATGAAATATGGTTGAATGATGTTCACCAAAAAATGCAATTGCTATTCCCACACCTGCAAGGAAGAAACTAGAGTTGCAAGAGCAACAAAATCAGTCAACTGGCGACTAAATAGATTCTCAAATGACTTTTGTTTAATTAAATTCAAAACTGACTAACAAGAACTAAAAACGACCCATTTGGAGTAAGTTTTGGACCTAAATTTGTCAAAAAAAATTGCACCATATTATTTTCCGCGCAACTCTAAGCAACTATTATTCTCATCTCTTTTGTCAAATAACAACCTTAGTTGAGAATAACGCATTTAACCTTTCAATTTTGTTCGTTTCGGTCGGTTGATATACATCAGCACTGTTCCTAATGGTTAATTATGAAACGGCATCAACTTACATTCCACATATTATTCAGCACACTTAAAGGGTCCGGCGGTTTGGTGACCATACTCTGATTCCCACTAGAACTTTCCCGTCGACGCATTTCCTCTTCTGCCTGCTCTTGCTCGCGTCTCAGTCTCGCTTGAACATCGACTTCTCCATTTCGAGACCTCTGTGCATGTTCTACACTTCGACTTAACCAACTAGTTGACGACTCCGTGTTATAAGAAGATACTGGCGAATGTCTAGGTCCAAATGATTGCATTGGATCCAGAGCAAACCTGGGTGTTTCGGGAAAAATAGTCAAGGGATCCGGTAATGAAAGAGTCCTTACCGGGTTTTGAAAGTCGCTTCTATCTTTACCCTGAAATTTCTTTAAGGATGACGAAGGCTTTACTCCTGTTGTTCTAGTTAAAGTGGGAATTGAAGCACCAGGCTTCGCCAAAGATTTAAGAACAGATGACTTCGTGGGTATCCGCTTCAAAGAGAACGGGACTTTGGTTGAAGCTTGGGGTTTTGTGATATTCGGTTCAGATTTCACGGACTCGCGCTGTTCTCTGAGAAACATCGCCAACATTCCGTCATCATCGGCAGTTTGTTCATTAGAAGACTTCGTATCATCTTTCTGCTCTTCTGGTTCTTCATTTGAAATCTCAATCGGATACTCTTTAGATCCGGCTGAACTAGACGACTCAGACTTTCTCTGTTGTTGCGCAAGGTACTGTATTTCAGGTGTGGTGGAATCGACAATATCAGATTCCCCAGTTGAAGACACAGACGGTACGCAAACATTGTCAGTCGACGAATCTGGCTCCAGCGATGTAACTTCTGAAAACGAACTACTTCTGGCACGCTCATTTATACCACCCGTGTCTTTTTGATGAAACGATGTTTCCTCACCAAGCCCAGTTGAGCTATCAGGTACAATTGATTCTGAACAATTTTCCGCAACAACTATATCGTCGTCTTGTTTTTCAGCATCTGCTTTCTTTTGAGCTAACTGTTGCTTGATTCTCTGCGCACGTTTCCCAACAATATTGCCTATTGGATTTTTGTTATATTTATCATATGGATCTTCAGAGGAGGAGTTTACAGAAGTGTTCGACACCTTTTTTGATTCAATCACCGGTTTCGGAGCCGCTTTCGACTTCTTCTTAAGAACTTTCTGCTCTTGGGGAACTGCAAGGTCAAAACTGTTAAAAGTCAGACCACTACTTATTCGGATCATCGAAGGTTTCTCGAACCTTGTTGTCAACACACTGTCTACAATTTGAGGACCTTTTTCTAACTCTCTTAGCTGTTCAGCAACTGCTCTCAATTTCTGATCGTATGATAGATTTTCATTAACAATATCGTCCATCGATGCCGTTGATGCTGTTTTGGATTTGAGCTGCTCTCGTTTTTCAATATAGTAAGGATCATTTTTGTAATCGAAGGTTGACCAATCAATATCTGATTTTACTTGAGAATAGGAATCTCTAGCATCCCTTCTCAGGAGAGCGTTATTGTTTAACGGATTGGTATTGACAATCGTGCGCGTTAGAGAAGACCGTTCCATTAGGATATCATCAGTAATTTCGTTAGGCAATCCAGATCCCGAAATTGAGGACCTGGACCCCGTGCGAAGAGACAAGAGACTAGGTTGTGATAAGGAATCATCGATAATTGCACTTCTAGAAGTTCCATAGACCACTGCATCTGGTATAAGGGCTGATCTCCTAATTAAAGGATCGTAATCAGAGTTGTTGTACATTTTATAGCATGATTCGAAAATTTCAATTCGTAATCATGCTGGACTGAAATTGAAAACGGTTCATCAAGGGCAGGTTCTAGAAAACATGTTGATGCTTTTTTCCTAATTTGCTTCGATGACACCACGCTATTAGCTTAATGTGCTTGAATCGAGAGAAAAGATCTGGCTACAAAACAACCTAAACTGAAGGGCAATATAAAAGTAAATTTTTTCGAAGTTTTTCGTTTAACTAACACAAATACAAAAAACGTCATTTCTCATAAACTACTCAAAAAGGAAAGCATAGCACGAGGATTAGTAGCATGTAACAAAACTATCCATTTTCAAATTTCAATCGTTACAGACAATTAAAATCGCAGGTTGCTGATTTGAATATGTTGTATATTTCATTGTTCCAACCACTCGATGAGCGAAAAAAAGTATGAATTAAAACCTGTTTTTAATTTTTTTCCCGCCAATTTTGCCTACCTTGTGAAAAGTTCGTGAGTGGTCACGAGCGGTGTCATATTAAGGCCCGATTGTTCGTGATTCAGATTCTTAAAAAAATCCACAAAAAATTCTCCGTGTCAAGAAAAACTGGTCTTCACATTTTCGGTTTGCGGACTAATTTAGACAAAATTGGCTGACATCCCAATTTAATTGGACTACAATTTTAAGGTTATTTTAGCTATAATTACTTCAAACTCTTTCAAATTTTTAAAATTGAAAATCGAAATTTTTGTTTATTCGGCTTATATATTTTTTTCTTCAGTTTAGAATTGTTTTCTTGAAAAATTCTGGTCGGAAAATTCTGTGTGGATTTAAAAAATTTGTTCGGGCGTCGAGAAAAAACCGGTTTGAAATTTTTTAAAGAACTACTTGCTCGAAATTAGATTTTAAGTTTTCATTGAAATTGTGAAAAACTTAGTTCTCCAGGAAAAAACGGAGAAGCTTCATTTAGCGCTTCTTTGGAAACATCAACTTCAAAATAATCAAAATTGTTCGGCAAAAGAATTTGTTTATTCATTATTCGGAGAGAACTGTTTTCGACTATGACTTATTCACTCACGTTCCACGCCTTCGTATAGTTGCCTCATCACACTACGCACACAAAAAATGACATTCATTAAAAAAACCCAGTCTGCATATCACAATGCAAAAAGAGGATGGAAAATCAATTCTCACTCATAGCAACAAATAACAATTATCAAGTTTTTTGAAAAAACAATTGAAAAAATTGCTTTAAATGGTCATAAACACTGACTTTTGAAGCTTCACACTTCGAGCTCAAAACTTTGGGCTCCAGGCACCTATCAAAAATAAAATGTTCAATAAAAATTACAAAAAACTAACAAAAAATTTAGATTCCCGAATATGAATGATGAAAATTTTTATTTCAGTATTATTCTCGAAAACAAAACTAGTGCTCCCTTTGATGAGTTTTAACAACAGTACTGTATAGATAGATAGGTGGAAAAAACTGTATAGTGAAAAAAAGCCAAGCCAAAATGGTCGGCCTTCAAACCGAGAAAATTTTTCAATCCTCCGATAAAAAAATCCCCGAGCATGCAAGTGGATCAGTTGATACGTCACTAGCTACAATTTATTTCTGCGTATTACATAAGAAATATCTATTTTCGATCAGTCAGACAATTTTTCATTTCTCTGACGAAACGTTGCAACGTCTAGTCTAAAGAGCCTGCTGATAAATCAAGTGAATAATATATAGTTTGCAAATAATTCGCATGTACTGTCTGCCACGCAAAGCAGTCGGTCAGCGGCATTCATTTACACAAGTTGTGTATCTTTAAGCAAAATGCTCTCTAATCGCTAAAAAGCTTCATAAAAAGAGCAATGCGCGGATCTCGGATTTCCTCGAGAGTGGGTAGAGCATTTAGGTCGATTAAAGAGATCTTGCGTGCTCGCACAGCCAAATATTTAAACAGCCTTAAAGGAAGCTTTTGAGCACTTTTTGGAACGTTTTGACGAAAAACCGCATTCAGAGGAGCGCGCTATCTCTCACTCTCAAGATCAGGGTTGCCAAATTGTATGTTATTTTCAAAAATAACAAACTATCAACTATATGACTGATACTTTTTTGGATCAAGTTAACATCCTACTCCCCCCCACAGCCGTTTCAAATCAGAAATTTGATGCGAATTAAATAATGGGGTGGAATATCTTAACTTGGTCTGTCTATTTTTTTTGGAGGGGGTCTATCTATAAAATTACCCAATTTGAGAAAACTGGATAATTAAGAAAAGTTTTTATTTCCTGGGAAATTTGAAACTTTACTTCCACTTTCGAAACTAGAAGTCGATCACGTTTTTCGTGACTTTTACACCTTCGCTGTTCGATAGAGGGATTTGCCTTCCTTGTAACAAAGGAAATTAACTGAACTTAAAAAGAAATCAAAAGTCAAATCGCGAAAAAAAAATAAATTTGAGCCTGAAGTTATCTTTGAGCGAAGATGTGTTGGGATTAGAGTAATTAACCCACAAGCCTATTTATACAAAGAATCGAAGCTGCACTTTGCGATGACGCAAAAAGCGGCAAGCTCAAAATACGCCACTTGGCCAAGGCATGCTCTAATTTCACGCCTCATCCATTGATAGCGAAGTTTCCTTGGGCGAACTTTTCATTGAGCAAGCTTTTATTTCGCTCATCTATTCATATTAATCAATTTTCAATGATTAGATGAAATTAAATCAAAATGAAGATGTAATTCTATCGCCAATTGGCCAAGAAGAAACATCCTCAAATATAAACCACTGGTAGCTTTGTCCTCAATTTCTACACAGAGGCGAAGCTGTGCTCTGCAAACACACGCAAGGAAAATGCAAAGAAGAGCTCTAAGTGAAATAAGGCCAAGGATAGCCGGTTGCTGTGCAAAGAGCGCATAATATTCCGACCATAGTCTTAAAAAATAGAAAAACTTTTTTTTTCAAATCATAGAAGTTTTTTTCTGCGTGGTGTGACAAAAAATAAAAAAAAATTGCGGTTTTTTGAATTTTTTGACGTTTTTGTTTCCGAAAAGGCGCAAAAATACTAAAAAAAGCTTTTCAGCTATTATAGTAAACTATTGTAAGCCTGCTCACTCATTCAAAATTGACCAAAAATCAAAAATTTCAAACCAAATTTTATTGTCGCTCAAATCACTCAACTCTCTCCGATGATTATTTGTGGTAGCTAATTGTGCGCGGAAAGAAAAAAGAGTATCACGTCCTCCACGACCGCTTGTAATTTCACTGAAACTAGCCACCAATAACATAGCCAGCAGACAGTTGGAAAAAATTCAATTTCCATCAAATTAAGTTTTCTGTGACATAAATGACATAAATAATTCAATAAATGGATATCATCCAAAATTTCGATGCAGGGGTGAAGCTGCACTTCACAAACACAAAAAAGAAGAAAACCAATTCCCAAAAACAGCAAGAAGTAAAAATTTCTTTTGACTTTTGGAGGGAAAAAATCCGGACCAATTAGCTTACCTCACCTTTACTCGAGTGAAAGTGATTTTTTGAGCGCTTTAAAAAAAAATACTTTATATCCGCCGAAAGATACGCGTTTGGCATCAGAGATAGGTGCAGAAAATGGAGCTGAAAATAATCCAGGATATTGTCAATCTGTAAATTTACAAAAAAATTACTGCAAGTATAATATCTTTTCACATCTTGGCTTAATTGCTACAATTTTGTCCCTCAAAACTAGTATTTAGAAAAAAAATCACTGAAATGAGTGAGTTAGGCTTAGGTATAGAGACTAACATTATAACACTGCGCTCACACTTGCTTTAGTAGAAACAACAAAAAATAGGTAAACCAAAATTTTCGTAAATCTTCATAAAAAACAACTTGGGGCCCAGCTAAAGCAAGAGGTAACTGATTGATTTTTTTGGAATAATTATAATGAATTTATTATAATGGATCATCGAAGGTTTCTCGAACCTTGTTGTCAACACACTGTCTACAATTTGAGGACCTTTTTCTAACTCTCTTAGCTGTTCAGCAACTGCTCTCAATTTCTGATCGTATGATAGATTTTCATTAACAATGTCGTCCATCGATGCCGTTGATGCTGTTTTGGATTTGAGCTGCTCTCGCTTTTCAATATAGTAAGGATCATTTTTGAAATCGAAGGTTGACCAATCAATATCTGATTTTACTTGAGAATAGGAATCTCTAGCATCCCTTCTCAGGAGAGCGTTATTGTTTAACGGATTGGTATTGACAATCGTGCGCGTTAGAGAAGACCGTTCCATTAGGATATCATCAGTAATTTCGTTAGGCAATCCAGATCCCGAAATTGAGGACCTGGACCCCGTGCGAAGAGACAAGAGACTAGGTTGTGATAAGGAATCATCGATAATTGCACTTCTAGAAGTTCCATAGACCACTGCATCTGGTATAAGGGCTGATCTCCTAATTAAAGGATCGTAATCAGAGTTGTTGTACATTTTATAGCATGATTCGAAAATTTCAATTCGTAATCATGCTGGACTGAAATTGAAAACGGTTCATCAAGGGCAGGTTCTAGAAAACATGTTGATGCTTTTTTCCTAATTTGCTTCGATGACACCACGCTATTAGCTTAATGTGCTTGAATCGAGAGGAAAGATCTGGCTACAAAACAACTTAAACTGAAGGGCAATATAAAAGTAAATTTTTTCGAAGTTTTTCGTTTAACTAACACAAATACAAAAAACGTCATTTCTCCTAAACTACTCAAAAAGGAAAGCCTAGCACGGAGATTAGTAGCATGTAACAAAACTATCCATTTTCAAATTTCAATCGTTACAGACAATTAAAATCGCAGGTTGCTGATTTGAATATTTTGTATATTTCATTGTTCCAACCACTCGATGAGCGAAAAAAAGTATGAATTAAAACCTGTTTTTAATTTTTTTCCCGCCAATTTTGCCTACCTTGTGAAAAGTTCGTGAGTGGTCACGAGCGGTGTCATATTGAGGCCCGATTGTTCGTGATTCAGATTCTTAAAAAAATCCACAAAAAATTCTCCGTGTCAAGAAAAACTGGTCTTCACATTTTCGGTTTGCG